AGTAGACGCCAGATATTGGTGTCAGTGTTACTATGTGCCAGTCAGTGTCGGTCAGGTGAGTCAGACAGGTGTTGTCAGTAGACGCCAGATATTGGTGTCAGTGTTACTATGTGGCTGTCAGTGTCAGGTGAGTCTGACAGGTGTTGTCAGTAGACGCCAGATATTGGTGTCAGTGTTACTATGTGCCAGTCAGTGTCAGGTGAGTCTGACAAGTGTTATCAGTAGACGCCAGATATTGGTGTCAGTGTTACTATGTGCCAGTCAGTGTCAGGTGAGCCAGAAAGGTGTTGTCAGTAGACGCCAGATATTGGTGTCAGTGTTACTATGTGGCTGTCAGTGTCAGGTGAGTCTGACAGGTGTTGTCAGTAGACGCCAGATATTGGTGTCAGTGTTACTATCTGCCAGTCAGTGTCAGGTGAGCCAGAAAGGTGTTGTCAGTAGACGCCAGATGTTGGTGTCAGTGTTACTATGTGCCAGTCAGTGTCGGTCAGGTGAGTCAGACAGGTGTTGTCAGTAGACGCCAGATATTGGTGTCAGTGTTACTATGTGCCAGTCAGTGTCAGGTGAGTCAGACAGGTGTTGTCAGTAGACGCCAGATGTTGGTGTCAGTGTTACTATGTGCCAGTCAGTGTCGGTCAGGTGAGTCAGACAGGTGTTGTCAGTAGACGCCAGATGTTGGTGTCAGTGTTACTATGTGCCAGTCAGTGTCAGGTGAGTCAGACAGGTGTTGTCAGTAGACGCCAGATGTTGGTGTCAGTGTTACCATGTGGCTGTCAGTGTCGGTCAGGTGAGTCAGACAGGTGTTGTCAGTAGACGCCAGATATTGGTGTCAGTGTTACTATGTGCCAGTCAGTGTCGGTCAGGTGAGTCAGACAGGTGTTGTCAGTAGACGCCAGATATTGGTGTCAGTGTTACTATGTGCCAGTCAGTGTCGGTCAGGTGAGTCAGACAGGTGTTGTCAGTAGACGCCAGATATTGGTGTCAGTGTTACTATGTGGCTGTCAGTGTCAGGTGAGTCTGACAGGTGTTGTCAGTAGACGCCAGATATTGGTGTCAGTGTTACTATGTGCCAGTCAGTGTCAGGTGAGTCTGACAGGTGTTGTCAGTAGACGCCAGATATTGGTGTCAGTGTTACTATGTGCCAGTCAGTGTCAGGTGAGCCAGAAAGGTGTTGTCAGTAGACGCCAGATATTGGTGTCAGTGTTACTATGTGGCTGTCAGTGTCAGGTGAGTCTGACAGGTGTTGTCAGTAGACGCCAGATATTGGTGTCAGTGTTACTATGTGCCAGTCAGTGTCAGGTGAGCCAGAAAGGTGTTGTCAGTAGACGTCAGATATTGGTGTCAGTGTTACTATGTGCCAGTCAGTGTCAGGTGAGTCAGACAGGTGTTGTCAGTAGACGCCAGATGTTGGTGTCAGTGTTACCATGTGGCTGTCAGTGTCGGTCAGGTGAGTCAGACAGGTGTTGTCAGTAGACGCCAGATATTTGTGTCAGCGTTACTATGTGGCTGTCAGTGTCGGTCAGGTGAGTCAGACAGGTGTTGTCAGTAGACGCCAGATGTTGGTGTCAGTGTTACCATGTGGCTGTCAGTGTCGGTCAGGTGAGTCAGACAGGTGTTGTCAGTAGACGCCAGATATTTGTGTCAGCGTTACTATGTGGCTGTCAGTGTCGGTCAGGTGAGTCAGACAGGTGTTGTCAGTAGACGCCAGATATTGGTGTCAGTGTTACTATGTGCCAGTCAGTGTCGGTCAGGTGAGTCAGACAGGTGTTGTCAGTAGACGCCAGATGTTGGTGTCAGTGTTACTATGTGGCTGTCAGTGTCGGTCAGGTGAGTCAGACAGGTGTTGTCAGTAGACGCCAGATATTGGTGTCAGTGTTACTATGTGCCAGTCAGTGTCGGTCAGGTGAGTCAGACAGGTGTTGTCAGTAGACGCCAGATGTTGGTGTCAGTGTTACTATGTGCCAGTCAGTGTCGGTCAGGTGAGTCAGACAGGTGTTGTCAGTAGACGCCAGATATTGGTGTCAGTGTTACTATGTGCCAGTCAGTGTCAGGTGAGTCAGACAGGTGTTGTCAGTAGACGCCAGATGTTGGTGTCAGTGTTACTATGTGCCAGTCAGTGTCGGTCAGGTGAGTCAGACAGGTGTTGTCAGTAGACGCCAGATATTGGTGTCAGTGTTACTATGTGGCTGTCAGTGTCGGTCAGGTGAGTCAGACAGGTGTTGTCAGTAGACGCCAGATGTTGGTGTCAGTGTTTTCATGTGGCTGTCAGTGTCGGTCAGGTGAGTCAGACAGGTGTTGTCAGTAGACGCCAGATGTTGGTGTCAGTGTTACCATGTGGCTGTCAGTGTCGGTCAGGTGAGTCAGACAGGTGTTGTCAGTAGACGCCAGATATTTGTGTCAGTGTTACTATGTGGCTGTCAGTGTCGGTCAGGTGAGTCAGACAGGTGTTGTCAGTAGACGCCAGATATTGGTGTCAGTGTTACTATGTGCCAGTCAGTGTCGGTCAGGTGAGTCAGACAGGTGTTGTCAGTAGACGCCAGATATTGGTGTCAGTGTTACTATGTGGCTGTCAGTGTCGGTCAGGTGAGTCAGACAGGTGTTGTCAGTAGACGCTAGATATTGGTGTCAGTGTTACTATGTGCCAGTCAGTGTCAGGTGAGTCAGACAGGTGTTGTCAGTAGAAGCCAGATATTGGTGTCAGTGTTACTATGTGGCTGTCAGTGTCAGGTGAGTCAGACAGGTGTTGTCAGTAGACCCTAGATGTTGGTATCAGTGTTACTATGTGCCAGTCAGTGTCGGTCAGGTGAGTCAGAGAGGTGTTGTCAGTAGACGCCAGATATTGGTGTCAGTGTTACTATGTGGCTGTCAGTGTCAGGTGAGTCAGACAGGTGTTGTCAGTAGACGCCAGATGTTGGTGTCAGTGTTACTATGTGCCAGTCAGTGTCAGGTGAGTCAGACAGGTGTTGTCAGTAGACGCCAGATGTTGGTGTCAGTGTTACCATGTGGCTGTCAGTGTCGGTCAGGTGAGTCAGACAGGTGTTGTCAGTAGACGCCAGATATTGGTGTCAGTGTTACTATGTGCCAGTCAGTGTCGGTCAGGTGAGTCAGACAGGTGTTGTCAGTAGACGCCAGATATTGGTGTCAGTGTTACTATGTGCCAGTCAGTGTCGGTCAGGTGAGTCAGACAGGTGTTGTCAGTAGACGCCAGATATTGGTGTCAGTGTTACTATGTGGCTGTCAGTGTCAGGTGAGTCTGACAGGTGTTGTCAGTAGACGCCAGATATTGGTGTCAGTGTTACTATGTGCCAGTCAGTGTCAGGTGAGTCTGACAGGTGTTATCAGTAGACGCCAGATATTGGTGTCAGTGTTACTATGTGCCAGTCAGTGTCAGGTGAGCCAGAAAGGTGTTGTCAGTAGACGCCAGATATTGGTGTCAGTGTTACTATGTGGCTGTCAGTGTCAGGTGAGTCTGACAGGTGTTGTCAGTAGACGCCAGATATTGGTGTCAGTGTTACTATGTGCCAGTCAGTGTCAGGTGAGCCAGAAAGGTGTTGTCAGTAGACGCCAGATATTGGTGTCAGTGTTACTATGTGGCCGTCAGTGTCAGGTGAGTCAGACAGGTGTTGTCAGTAGACGCCAGATGTTGGTGTCAGTGTTACCATGTGGCTGTCAGTGTCGGTCAGGTGAGTCAGACAGGTGTTGTCAGTAGACGCCAGATATTTGTGTCAGTGTTACTATGTGGCTGTCAGTGTCGGTCAGGTGAGTCAGACAGGTGTTGTCAGTAGACGCCAGATATTTGTGTCAGTGTTACTATGTGCCAGTCAGTGTCGGTCAGGTGAGTCAGACAGGTGTTGTCAGTAGACGCCAGATATTGGTGTCAGTGTTACTATTTGCCAGTCAGTGTCGGTCAGGTGAGTCAGACAGGTGTTGTCAGTAGACGCCAGATATTGGTGTCAGTGTTACTATGTGCCAGTCAGTGTCGGTCAGGTGAGTCAGACAGGTGTTGTCAGTAGACGCCAGATGTTGGTGTCAGTGTTACTATGTGCCAGTCAGTGTCGGTCAGGTGAGTCAGACAGGTGTTGTCAGTAGACGCCAGATATTTGTGTCAGTGTTACTATGTGCCAGTCAGTGTCAGGTGAGTCAGACAGGTGTTGTCAGTAGACGTCAGATGTTGGTGTCAGTGTTACTTTGTGGCTGTCAGTGTTAGGTGAGTCAGACAGGTGTTGTCAGTAGAGGCCAGATATTGGTGTCAGTGTTACTATGTGCCAGTTAGTGTCGGTCAGTTGAGTCAGACAGGTGTTGTCAGTAGACGCCAGATGTTGGTGTCAGTGTTACTATGTGCCAGTCAGTGTCGGTCAGGTGAGTCAGACAGGTGTTGTCAGTAGACGCCAGATATTTGTGTCAGTGTTACTATGTGCCAGTCAGTGTCAGGTGAGTCAGACAGGTGTTGTCAGTAGACGTCAGATGTTGGTGTCAGTGTTACTTTGTGGCTGTCAGTGTTAGGTGAGTCAGACAGGTGTTGTCAGTAGAGGCCAGATATTGGTGTCAGTGTTACTATGTGCCAGTTAGTGTCGGTCAGTTGAGTCAGAGAGGTGTTGTCAGTAGACGCCAGATATTGGTGTCAGTGTTACTATGTGGCTGTCAGTGTCAGGTGAGTCAGACAGGTGTTGTCAGTAGACGCCAGATATTGGTGTCAGTGTTACTATGTGGCTGTCAGTGTCAGGTGAGTCAGACAGGTGTTGTCAGTAGACGCCAGATGTTGGTGTGAGTGTTACTATGTGCCAGTCAGTGTCGGTCAGGTGAGTCAGACAGGTGTTGTCAGTAGACGCCAGATATTGGTGTCAGTGTTACTATGTGGCTGTCAGTGTCAGGTGAGTCAGACAGGTGTTGTCAGTAGACGCCAGATGTTGGTGTCAGTGTTACTATGTGCCAGTCAGTGTCGGTCAGGTGAGTCAGACAGGTGTTGTCAGTAGACGCCAGATATTGGTGTCAGTATTACTATGTGGCTGTCAGTGTCGGTCAGGTGAGTCAGACAGGTGTTGTCAGTAGACGCCAGATATTGGTGTGAGTGTTACTATGTGCCAGTCAGTGTCGGTCAGGTGAGTCAGACAGGTGTTGTCAGTAGACGCCAGATGTTGGTGTCAGTGTTACTATGTGCCAGTCAGTGTCGGTCAGGTGAGTCAGACAGGTGTTGTCAGTAGACGCCAGATATTGGTGTCAGTATTACTATGTGGCTGTCAGTGTCGGTCAGGTGAGTCAGACAGGTGTTGTCAGTAGACGCCAGATATTGGTGTCAGTGTTACTATGTGCCAGTCAGTGTCGGTCAGGTGAGTCAGACAGGTGTTGTCAGTAGACGCCAGATATTGGTGTCAGTGTTACTATGTGCCAGTCAGTGTCGGTCAGGTGAGTCAGACAGGTGTTGTCAGTAGACGCCAGATATTTGTGTCAGTGTTACTATACATTAACCCTCCCACTATATGTTCCAGACAAGGTGATGCTTGTCATACATTAACCCTCCCACTTTACGTTCCAGACAAGGTGATGCTTGTCTTACATTAACCCTCCCACTCTATGTTCCAGGCAAGGAGATGCTTGTCATACATTAACCCTCCCACTTTATGTTCCAGGCAAGGAGATGCTTGTCATACATTAACCCTCCCACTTTATGTTCCAGGCAACGTGATGCTTGTCATACATTAACCCTCCCACTATATATTCCAGGCAAGGTGATGCTTGTCATACATTAACCCTCCCACTTTAGGTTCCAGGCAAGGTGATGCTTGTCATACATTAACCCTCCCACTTTATGTTCCAGGCAAGGTGATGCTTGTCATACATTAACCCTCCCACTTTATGTTCCAGGCAAGGTGATGCTTGTCATACATTAACCCTACCACTTTATGTTCCAGGCAAGGTGATGCTTGTCATACATTAACCCTCCCACTTTATGTTCCAGGCAAGGTGATGCTTGTCCTACATTAACCCTCCCACTATATGTTCCAGGCAAGGTGATGCTTGTCATACATTAACCCTCCATCTATATGTTCCAGGCAAGGTGATGCTTGTCATACATTAACCCTCCCACTCTATGTTCCAGGCAAGGTGATGCTTGTCATACATTAACCCTCCATCTATATGTTCAAGACAAGGCGATGCTTGTCATACATTAACCCTCCCACTCTATGTTCCAGGCAAGGTGATGCTTGTCATACATTAACCCTCCATCTATATGTTCCAGGCAAGGTGATGCTTGTCATACATTAACCCTCCCACTCTATGTTCCAGGCAAGGTGATGCTTGTCATACATTAACCCTCCATCTATATGTTCAAGACAAGGCGATGCTTGTCATACATTAACCCTCCCACTCTATGTTCCAGACAAGGTGATGCTTGCCATACATTAACCCTCCCACTCTATGCTCCAGACAAGGTGATGCTTGTCATACATTAACCCTCCTACTCTATGCTCCAGACAAGGTGATGCTTGTCATACATTAACCCTCCCACTCTATGTTCCAGGCAAGGTGATGCTTGTCAAGACGTCTGGTGATCAAACTAAATCAGTGTTCCTCAACGACAAAGGTGTTCATGTAGCTGGCGAGAAGTCTCTTATTATGGATATCAAGGCGTGCGCGGAAGCAGTGGTACAGTTCGCACAAACGCAGCATCTGACGGGGGGATTCTTTGAGGTGAGAATGACTGTACAGTAAACTACGGTTATAACGAACTCAAAGGGACTACTACTTTTAGTTCGTTATAACCGTAGTTCGTTATAAGCATATGTACAGCATAACTACAGCAAATAGTCGGGACCATAAAAGGAAGTTCGTTATATCCGTCAGTTCGTTATAAGCGTGTTCGTTATAACCGTAGTTTACTGTACATATATTCCTGTGGCTGTTGTTTACATGTTTTACATTCTAAAAACTGATAATAACCTTCAACAGTTTGTATTGACAACATTTACTATTGGTGACCAAATTGCATGTGTACATTGTTTGAAACAGATTCCGAGCATAAGGGAACGGTTGGGTAGTCTAGTGGTTACATTGTTCGCTGGTCACACCAATGCCCGAATTCGATTCCCCACATGTGTAAAATGTGTGTATTTCTGGTGTCTCCCGCCGTTATATTGCTGGAATATAAGCGGCGTAAAACAATACTAACTCACGCTAACCATAAGCTGTCCACCTACAGGTGTACTTGGGGTCTCGGGACAACTCGATGTCCATGGTGAGGTTTTCGGGGAAGAAGAAAAAGGAGTCTGTGCGCGGTAGCCCCTTGGACTGCAAGGACTTTCGGTAAGACGTTCCAATTGAACGTGCTTCGGGTGTCTTTTTAAGGGGTTATCTGATTTCGTCCACCTAATAACCATTGTGGAACCCGTGAACATCCGGGGTGGGATAGGTCTTCAGCAACCAATGCTTGCCGTAAAAGGGGACTATGCTTGTCGTTAGAGGCGACTAACGGGATTGGGTGATCAGGCTCTCTGACTTGGTTGATCGTGTCCAAGATGCATGGATCGATGCTCAAGGTGTCAATCACTGAATTGTCTGATCCAGACACGATTATTTACAGACCGTCGTCATATAGCCAGAATATAGCTGAGTGCGACGTTAAAAAACAAACAAACAAACAAGCAAAAGCATTGTGGTTTTTCATGAGAAAAAAATACAGCATATTGCAGCGAGGTAAAAGAACCTTCACCCACTCCAGCCCGAATCGGCTGTGACATTGTTTTTTGTCAATTTAATTATCACTATGAAATATATTGAATGCATATTAATTAACAGATTAGTATTGTAAATATGTGTTCAGTTCATAGTTTAATAGTGCCTTTCAATCATTTAACGTCTTCTGGGAGAAAAAGTGGAAAATTCCATTTGTTTAAAAAAAAGTCTAAATTTTCAACTACGTTTTACACCCACAAGAGCATGGTGACCCAACTTTTACATTTCATTATTTGAAATCGCCATTCTTGAAAGTACTTGTCTACAAACAATTTGAAATTTTTAATTATTTAACACAGCAAACACACGATTGGTACGATAAGGCCATCGATTCTACGTGAGAATTCAATTGATAATAAGAATATTAAGTATTATCATTTCTAGTTAAATAATCCAGATATCTTATTGGCCGTCATGTAAAGACCCATATAAGGCTGGTATTAACGAATATCATGACGTCATAATTGTTAATGTGACGTCATCTGTCAAATAATAATTATATTCGATCATGTGAATTCGCTAGGGATCTCTTGTTGTGAGAGCCTGAGATAATTCAAAACAAAGGTAAACTCGATCGGCTGTACATCTCTGTGACGTCATACAGGACATTCTGGTTCTCCTGGGAGGATGAGGGAACGCTGCACGTGGGGAGCGGGAGCGTCATCGGGGTGCGTGAGTTCCTGAGTCTGGAGGTGGAGGATGCGGTGGAGATCCACTACGTGGTTGTGTACACAGCCATGGGGAATGAGGGGGAGTGGAGGGTCCTCAGAGGTACGTCAGGTCGCGTTACTCTTTGTTTTGGGCCCCGTGAAGATTCCGGGAAAGAATAGGTCTTCAGTAACCCATGCTTGCCGTAAAAGGCGACTATGCTTGTCGTGAAAGGCGACTAACGGGATCGGGTGGTCAGGATCACTGACTTGGTTGATGCATGTCATTGATCCCAATTGCGTGGATCGATGCTCGTGATATCAATCACTGGATTGTCTGGTCCAGACTCGATTATTTACAGACTGCCGTCATATAGCTGGAATATTGCTGAGTGCGGTGTTAAACAATAAACCAACCAACCAACAACTTTGTTTTGGATTCGGATTTTTCGGATCTACCAACCCAATAATAGGGTGCAATCAGACAATGTAAAACAAAACAAAACAAAAAAATTAATTCCAATTTATTTTTAAACGATCTTTTTAATCATGTTGATGGATTCAATAACCACTTATATACAACATGTAATAAGCATTTGTGAATTTAGTTTAACAATACCCGATCAACATTATACAGTAAGTATAACATCTGGCAAATTGCTAGGCTAAAATTACGTCTTTGAAATGAAATATATATATTTTAAAGATTGCGATCTGCTGATATATAAAATAGAAGAGACCCGAGAAAGTTATTTTTTTAAGCCCTGAAACTGCAGAAATCTAGAATCTAGAAGTTGTGTAGGCTTGCTTCGTAGGTTTGGGGTAGTATAGTTTCAGTGTGTGTATTAGAACTAGCTTCACAGGCAGTAGTAATTGGTTGTCACTGTATCGATCCTAAATATCATAAGCAAACATAAAACTGACTTTTCTTTCCCCTTCTAAACACAATAAATCCATACCAAAATAACTAACTGTACTGCTAGTGGCCCAGGAATATATACCCTCAGTGAAATCTCGTTGCCATCGACTCGCAAAGCAAGGGACGACTGTCAAGGTCAGCCTTCCAAATGTATGCTAGTGAAATTGAGATACCAAAACGGTGTTCAACCCAACTCGCACACTCATGCTGTGTTGTAGTGTCTTGACGTTAGTCTCCGTTTGACAGACAGCAGGCCCGAGTTTGTGCATCCAAACAGGGACGGGAGCACCGTGATCAACGTCAGAGAGGACACGCCCGCACATGGCGTCATCTACGAGCTGAAGGCGAGGGATCCCGACGAAGATGACATCTCATACCACGTCATTGGGCAATACTCCGATGTGTTCGGTGTCACTAGGACCAATCTGAAGATCTTGACGAGGCTGGACTATGAAAGCAAGCAGAACTATGTCGTTACCATAAGGTATGTGTTCTGCTGATCCAAACACTATCGGGAACACGGGTGGTCAGTCGTCTGTTCAGAGTTGCGTCCCTTAGTCACGTTAGGAATCTATAATCGTGGGTTCGAATCCCAGTTCACCCTAATTATGCTTCTCGTTTGTCAGCACCATACCCGTGCTCGTGAGTTTCACCAAGGTGATAAACGCCCGAGACCTGCTTCACTTCGGGCTCTCCTCCCACCTCAAACTGACACGCCCTGATACAACTGAAATAGAACTGTGTTCAAATACGCATTGAAACAAACTCACCCACTCACTCTGAGTCAATATGGCTTAAAGGTTGACTTTGCAGGGGTGGATCCGGGATTTTTTTAAAAAAGGGATGGAGGGGGTCCACTTGGGCCATTGGTAACTATCAATTGTGATTAAACAACCAAATCAACATGTTATCATGGTAGGCAATGTGCAAACATAATGTCATCAGATGTAATAATGGGAGTGTCTGGCCACTCCCATGCTCTCACAGCCACCCACCCTGAATCCACCACTGTCCTTTGTAACCTGCTTCCTCTCAGTAAACACATATATCGTTATTAACTTCGTTATTTCGGACTTCTTGGCTTGAAAAGAAAGTAAACCATGCACTTTCAACATAGTTACCTTGGTAACCACAGCGGCAATTGAAAGCCAAAATCCAACGAGTTATAACAAAATATAACATCATATTGAACATACCATGTACGAACTGAAAGCCAATTTTTTAACTGATATTTGCAGAAATGGCAAAACAGTTGTAAATTTGTCTTGTTTGATAGGCATTACTTAGAGGGGGCACGGGTGGCCCAGTCGTCTTAGGCGCCGACATTCGCTGGGCAGAGTTGCGTCCCTTGAGCACGCCAGAAACCTATGATTGTGGGTTCGAATCCCGGTTCGCCCCGATTATGTTTCTAGGTTTGCCAGCACCATACCCATCCTCGAGGGTTTCACCGAAGTGGTAAACGCCTGAGACCTGCATCACTTCAGGCTTTCCTCCCACATTAAGCTGACACGCCGTGATATAACTGGAATACTGTTAAAAGCGGCGTTAAACCCAACTCACCCACTCACATTACTTAGAAGGGGGCGGTCGAGTAGCCTAGTGGTTAAAACGTCAAGCAAGACAACGGTATAAGGATCTGTTATCCATAAATTGTGTCTACTTTGGAAATCTGTCAGTTTCATTAGCCGTGTGTACGATTGAACTTAGTGGAATCACATACACCATATTTCAGTTTCTGAGACACAGGCCTTTTGGGGGTGATGTCAAATGTTCAGTTAATCTAGGCCCACGCTATTTCACAATAGTGTGGATGACATTATTAGAAACACCCACTCCTCTTTCACAACAGCAGAACAATCACAAGGTCGGAGAGAATGCTTCATGCATCTGATATGAAGATGACGTGCGGTAATATTAAAAAAACAGTCATTAAAGTTTCATAACATTCACTGAGAGATATTACGCTGTGTATGATCATCATATTTGAGATAACTACTTTTGCTTTTGACATTAGGAGAAATTCTGTAAATGTTTAAGATTTAACTCATTTTTTATTTTTGAATGCATCGTACATTTCCACCGAATGGACAAATTGCACACCTAGATATATTGGGCACACTGTAGGTAATAAACAAGAAAATGCTAATAATTTACACTTCGGTTTCAAAATCTTTATTCTTTTTGACTTACCGCCGCGTCATACCAAAAGACGTTAAAAGATGGTACTTGTTGTTACCCTGTCTGGCGCGCGGCATTAAGGGCTAAAACAAGGACTGGTCGGCTCGGAGTCTGTGTCTGAGTAGGGTATTCATGAAAAAATGCGGCATGGTATCTCAGTGGGCTAGCACTATAAATCGGCATCTGTCCGGACTAGTGCAAGCAGCCACACACACACACACACACACACACACACACACACACACACACACACACACACACACACACACACGTGCATGCACTTCGCTATATAAGTGCAATAATCTTGGATGCGACGTTAAACCCCATTTCACCTCACCACACCTCTTTTTGTCTTTAACTAAATTGATCAAGATCCAGATCATATATTAATTGAAAGGATTATAGGGGTCCCATGAATTAATGTATTTCTAAATATTGTAGAAAAAAATGACATTATCGTATTAATATATATAAAAAGGCCATCGGGTCGACAAAGGCATTAACTCTTTAACCACCGCATATTCATAGTCAGGAAGTAAGAAATCAAAATACAGCTTTAATCTCCAATGGGACCGTTTCCATTACCCTGAACAGCGAATGGTACCATGAAAATACAGAGGTGATGCATTGAGCACAATGTCTCGAAAATGTTCATTTCATATGAAAAATCAAAACGGATTGTGTTTCAACTCTGATTGTAGTGTGAGCTATACTGACACAATTATGTAACCCGATCTGTGGTAACCCAGGTCTAACCGGGATGGCTAATGTTATCTCACATCGAATCAGTATCAACGCGATTGAATTTATAGCAGTTTTATGTTAACTTTTGTTTGATTTTTGGTTAACACAAATTGCAGTGCACAAACTGACTGTTGTGGCTATAAAATTGTCGCCCCGAGAAGAGGTTATTTAAAAAAGAATAGTTTTACACTCTTGGATATCATGTTTCGCGTGCATCTGAATGAGTGAGTATGGTTTTACGCCTTAAGTAAGCAATATTCCAGCAATATCACGGCGGGGAACACCAGAAACGAGCTTCACACATATTACCCATATGGGAATCGGCTAGCGAACCCTTTAACCACTAGGCTACCCCACCACCCTTGGACAAAACTGACCATAATATTTTTTATTATTTAACACGTGATCATATGATTCAACAATAGCATCAATTTCAATATTTTGAAATCTTTAGGGTAAAATGCCTTTTTATGATATTCTTTAGGAAAATAGCATTTCAGGACTGAAATCTAATACAATGTAACATTTAGTTCGGGTATTGTACGTGCGATCCTCGATCACCTATATGTTGATATTTACTCCATTAAATGAGAAGAAGTCAGAAGGTAATATTATTAATAATTTTGAAAAAATAATATCAATGTAAAATCATATCTGCTTTGAGGAAACTGTCTCAATTCTGTCGCGACACATTCTTTGTATCGTCGGATCATAGGTATCCGGACGGCCATGTTTATCGCGACTACTCGCGCTGTGACGGGGGGGGGGGGGGGGGGATTGTAAATACTCAGGGGATAGCTTGTTTTTAAGAGATGGTTGTCTTTTGAGAATGAATGAGATGATTTACAGTTGTTCATTTGAATAGAGAGAAACGTATGAATATCTCTTAAGCGTCCAAAGCCCCATAACACGGGGATACATTTAAACAGAACAACTCACGTATATTTTGCCCCCATGCCAAAATACGATAGACCTCTATGAATTCCTTGTTATGCTATGTTCCTTACACCTGATCATATAGTCGAAATCGTACCTTGAGTGAATGAAGTTCTGTTCTGTAATATTTCATCCAGAACTATTAACTTAGTCGAGTTCCCTTAAAGCCCAATTCCCTCACAAAGACGAGGTTATTCGCGTGTTAATTGTTAACTCAACTTGGATACAAGTAAACAATAACCCGGTAATGTACAGGTATTTACTTCGATGTTATTGCAACGTTTGAAAGACAATTGTCAACAAATATGGCACAGAAGTTTATGTAATAGACTGTAATGTAATGTAATAAATTAACGTTGTGTAACCGTGAGTAAATTCCGGCCATGTATGTCAAGGTTTAGATGCAGTGCACACTGGCTGGAAATAGAAACAAGAAGAAACTTTACATCCCATTGTAAAGAAAGCTTTTGAAAACTATGTCAATTTGGTCTAATAGAAGACGAGTTTCATTTCCTGCTAGTGTGCCCTGCATATACTCACCTACGCCATCTCAATATTCCTTCAAATATTATTTACACCCAAATGTCCATAAGTTTAATATTCTTTTATCTACAACTAACACAAAGCTCATTATTAATATCGTTTAATATCTGTATCACAGTAAAGAAGAAAGAACACGTGTTTTATCATTGTGACTGTTGCCATAAATATGTCATACATTTTGTACAAAGGGCCTGTGGCCTGTATAGTACCATCTTCCCGAGGCAAGCGAGTTAATTGACTATATAAGTTCAGTTTCCACCCTTGCCGAACAAGGCTGGTATTATGGAGTTACATTTTGGCTGGACTAACGAGTCTATGCATAGTCCAATCAAAATCGCACAACGAAATCGAAATCAGGTCAGTAAACTGTGGTGCAGATTTCGGTCGATTGCAGGATTTGCAAAGCACGTGCACCGCCAACTCGTTGTCAACAGATATTTTCCAAGTCTTTTCATGTTTTTGATCAAGGTGCTCATGTGATTTGATGCACTTCGCGATGTAAGACCCGTTTTATCACAATATAGATCTTGATTCTCAATCAGATTGTCTTGACTGGGCGCCGCCATTTTGTTTGAAAAAAATGCAAGTGATACGAGAGATGGAATCTGATTGGTCCATAGGAGAGGCTTAGAAGGGACATAACTGGTAATAACCACTGGTGGCGCTACGATCGAGCCCAGGAATTCCAGCCCTGTTCGACAAGGGTGGAAACTGAACTTATATAGTCAATTAACTCTTTTTGCCTCGGGAAGATGGTATAGTACTGAATAGAGAATTCAACTGAATCCATATCAAGAAAACACTAAAAATGAGAAGTACATTATCAAGCCAGTGAAGAGTAGGTACGCTAACCGTCTGATTGGCCATCAGTGCGAGTGACGGGAAACACGAAGTGCGGCAGTCGATGATGGTGAGCGTGGTGGACCTGGTAGACGAGGTGCCCGTCATCGGCCCACCCGTCTTGACCACCATCTTGGAGGAACTGCCGGTCGGGACGCCAATAGGACATCTAGCCACGGTCGTCGACAGAGACAGGGGCGCCAAGCTCAAGTACTCACTCCGAGGTATGTAACATATGTCATGGATTGATTATTATCCCCCGCAATGAAGTTTCGTTTCCGGAACGTAACTAAAAAGCCATGAGAGATATCTTAACCAAACTTGGCACATAGATAGGTCTCGTGGCGACGAACTGGTGCCTTTTGGTAGTTTGGAATTTTTGAAGAAAATATTCTTAGAGTTTCCATAACAACGACTTTAGACTGAAAATGGCGGTAGTGCTCCTTTCCGGAGCAGATCTTGAAAACTGTGTAATATTTCCTCACCTAACTTGGCACACCTAACTATAACGAATCTATATCCGTAATAACGAATCTTTTTTCCATTATTACGAATTTACTTTCGTAAAAACGAATCTTTTTTCCGCTATAACGAAATTCTTTCTGTAATAACGAAACTTTTTTCCGTTATAACGAATTTCTTTTCGTGTCTTGTCCATATTTCAATTTTGACCCCAATAGGCTTTCGTACCTGATGAACTATAACTAGAATAACAGTTTGCCATTTAAAAGAAGAATGCAGTTGTGGTTAAACTTTTTTTAAATAGTTTTCGCATAATTACCTGAGTTTCTATCAACCATGTAGCACCGTGACTTAGTCCAGACCACGTGGATTTTGAAATACTCTTCATATATAAACTCATCCATCAAACATAGAAACAGTCAGCTACAAATATATCCTTAACTAATACCATTTTAGGCCGTGACAGCCAGTACTTCAACATTAATACCAAGACAGGAGATGTACGCATGCGCAAACGCCTGGACCGAGACAAACGTAACGGCCGGCACGTGCTTGACCAGCTGTATTTGACAGTGGATGACCAGATTCACCTGCAAGAGAAGAAGTTGCACGTGTCGGTTATCGACATCAATGACAATCCTCCCATGTTCGGCAAGACCATTTACCGGGTCACCGTCAAAGAAAACATGTTTAAAGGTACGCTCATACCTTCGAACCCTACTGTCAAGGAACATTGGCTAAATATTGATGATGTAAATCACCATGTCTGGAAACGTAGACGTTTCCATTTAGTCCAATTAATCATCTCCTTATTTATGTACATCTCCTAATCCAACCAACATAAAGGGACCTTAATGGCTGCCTAATCTCAGGCGCGACAATTTTATTGTGGGATTGTCTCCCTTAGCTGTATCAGTATCCGTATATCTCATATTCGCCTCTATTATCATCATTAATCTGACAGCACAATATCATGGCCTCCACTACGTTACGCGTTCCCCATACTTGAAGGTAACACGCAGAGATATAAGTAAAATACTGTCCATAATGGCTATGAAACCAACTTACTGGCGCTCCAACCAATGTTCTGCTTTCTACGTGTCTCTGTTATCTCACAAATCTAGTATTGTGACCAAAATGTTTAAAAGGATAGTTTGAGCACGGGTGACCAAGTCATCTCTGGCGCCGCAAATCGCTGTGCAGACTTGCGTCCCTTAGGCGTCCCTGTGGTGGTGGTTCCAATTCCAGTTTCGTCCTGATTATGGTTCAAGGTTACCAGTATCATGCCCTTGCTGCTGTGCTCTAAAAAAAACCATAAACAGCCAGATGCCCTCCCACATCAAACTTACAGACTGTGATATAATACTGTTCATAATTACTTCCTCACTTGAATGGTATACAACATGTATTACTATCACATCCTTGCCCTGAGGGATATCACACATCTTCTTCAAGAAGTATCTGATCACCATAACTTTGATATATGTTGGTTGTTCAGATAAGTTGACATAGTTGTCAGCCTGATGTTCTGCATAACCTCGGCTATTCTGTTGATCTACCTTTACTATGTCTTCAGATATGGTGATAGCCAACCTGTCATGCGTGGACATCGATGACGCTGCCAATTCCATCTTCTCCCTGGTGGTCAGCTCAGTTGAGACACAGAAGGCTCCCATTAAGGCAGGGAAGACAAGCAAGACGCCGAGCTCCACGACCCCAAATAGCCTTGGAGACCGGAGCAGCAGTCCAGGGAAAGGAAACAGTACGAGCGAGTCCCCTCCTATATCTGATGCCAGCAGTGGCCATCCAGAGTACAGGTTACCAACCGTACCCGTCATGACAGATGGTAAGGCAGAAAGGGAGACAACTTCTCGGGGACGTGAAATGGAAGATGGCTTAAGTAAAGAACTGACTAGACCTTGGTTTCCACACGGTAGTGATAGTAGACGAGGTACGAAAAAGCAGGATCAGTTTCAAAACAGTGCATCTCAGAATACTGGTGGGAAGGATGTAGTTGGGAGAAATGTCCGATCGACCAATTTTCAAGAGTCCATAATGACCCCACACTACTTTGGTGATAAAACATATGATGATTCATTTAACAAAAAGAATGCACAGCCATTTGACAATGATTACCAGCCAAGAAGAAACGGTGAAAAAACTTATAAGGATGATTCGGTAGGGAGAAAGGACAGGCCAAGATATGATCCACATGAATGGAATGAAAGACATAAAGACAAATCCAGTCATGAGAGAGTCACTGAGACGTACGAAAGACATAGGGATGAAAGACGGAAACCAGATTATGACCATGTGCAACAAAGCAGAGATCGAGATGATGATCATCACCACGGAGAAGCTGATTTACGAAACAGGAGAAAGTACGCAGGGCGTCCTCAAAGATATAGATATGAAGACAGGAGATCCAATGATTACTACTATGACTATGATAATCATCCAAACAGATATCAGCCTTATCGAAGGCCCCCAAACGATGGTTATAGGAGGAGAAGGAGGTGGCATGAAGATGAGATCAGAGGTTCTAGTTGGGTGGGTGATAGTGAGAGTCACAGGGCCCCAGTTAAAGCACCCGTTCCAGATAATTGGGCTGACTTGTTGAAGCATGATGAACCCTACCTAGGTCCTAGACGTGATGATGAACCCAAACATCTGGAAGATGTCCTGAAGCCCCTCAATCCAAGCAAATCTATAAACAATGCCATCGGTGATGAAGAACCAATGAATATCATAACTAAAGCTGATCAAGAAAAGATTAGAAATCAAATGAGATCATCCATTTCAGAATATGGTGACGAGACAACAGTCCATGCTTCAGATACAACCCCCTCTCTCATAATGACAACAAAAGCTACTTTAGAAGATTTGGAGAGTCCACATATGCCACATGGTGACTTCAGTGATTCGAGTGAACAGTTGGTACATTCTGAAAGTAAGACTAGTGCTTTTTCAGAGGAAACCGGAATAAATTCTGGTGGCTTCCTTTACGATGACCCGCTAACCACAACCTCTACAAATGTCCTCGATAATGACATAAGAACAAATGCCCTCGGATTTCTTTATGATGATTCTGAAACTGAAACATCAACACTACCTTACACAACAAGCACAGTTATTACAACAGCAGATGATGACTTTTTGATTGATGGTGACGACGATTACGGTGATGATGATGACAACGAAGATGATGATGATGGTGATGATGATGATCTAGGTTTTGAGGATACACTATCAGCGACAACAGAATTCCCAGGTAATAGCGGTATTGGAACTGAAAACAACACGACTGTTGAGGACAAAACAGTGAAGGAAGATGGTGATGGTAGGGACAATGACGCAGACGGTGACGGTGATGCTTTAGGTGATACTGATGACAGCGATGATTCATTAGTAAATGGAACATCATATGAAACCAGCACTAGTTCGGATAAAGAGAGTTCCATAGACGAATACAGTTCAAGGGGTAATAGTTCAACCAACGCTTCTTCCAACACAGATTTTGACTATGATACATTGTATAACAAATTTGTTAAACACACAACAGAAGATAGTCAAGGAGTCGATGGTGTCACTGAAGCAACTAATGATAAAGGTACAACAGAGGGTTCTGAGTCTGATATTAACAACAATGATGTTAACACCAACAAAACTGATCCCAATCACCTGACTACTAATCAGAATAACAGTATTGGTAATACAATGAGCAGTAAAAGAAAGAAACGATCGTCACTGAAAAATATATTTGGAGGAAAATTCAGAAGGTATCTAAAGAAAACCAGAAAATTACGTAAAGCTAAAGCTGCACTGAAAGTAATAGGTAGGCTACTGTCCAACGCACGAAGAAGAAATAGAAGAAGAAAGAATGACAGATGGGAAAAGGCTATTCGAAAGTTTCTAAAGACAATTTCCAGTGACAATAACGTGCAATCAGATGTTTCCGGCAGGGAATCATTCAGACACCTGCTCAGGGACGTTCTTGTCCACCATGAGCGATCACGTGGAAATAGTCGTGAGAAATTGACGAATCAAATTCCCATGGATGAGGTGTACATTTCCGATCCTACACAAGTGACTCAATCTAAGGGAGACCAGGAGAATTATCTGACACAGAAAATGGGACAAAAGCTTTTTCCTGAGCAACAATACATACCATCTCTCTTCAGACATTTTCATGACGATAGACAGAACTATGATGATAGACGCCTCAAGCAGAGATATCCAAACAGCCCATCCTCGTGGCGACACATTAGGCCTAATAGACCAAGGGAAGCACCATTTGCCAGACAAACATCGAAATTTCCATACTATCTGGAACCCTGGGAACAGACTTCTTCTTCAACAAATCACAATGACAGATTGAGACATGACATAAACGACGCATTTCCATTTGAAAGGCATGGATTTGAACCTTGGAAATATCAAATACAAGATGAACGCCTGCCCAATAATAAGCCAAATAAACCGCTGAAACCTTCTCATCACCACCAGGTCCAGCCAAGTAGGGATGATGGCAGACACCAACCTCTGTCCCCTGGTCAGATGCCTTCGTCTTATACCGACATGAACAATATTAGAACTGGTGTTCAGCAGTTAGATTATTTTGAAAATACAAATGCACTTGGGATTGATGGAGACACTGGTAGTGAGGAGACTGAATATCAAGATTCAGTTCCAGACAATTATCTTACTGGTGTGTCTGGACAGTCACCGGAAATTTTAAATAACGATGTTGATATTGGAAGAGAAGGAATATCTGCAGCCAGAGCCAAAGTGTATGAAGAACTTGGCCTCGAACCCAACCTACAGAATCTAGATTATGACTATCTGGATCCAATGGACACAGGGAGTAATATCTATGAAACAGATTATACGAAAGATGGAGAACAAACTCCCTCAGAACATAGACCGACTGATAAAGGTGCTATGTCATACAACAGTGTTGATCAATCTAAATATTTAACAAATGGTGTTCCTTATAGTCCTCAGCAAAAGACGCAAGATTACAGACATTCTGAGAAGGGGAATTCCAAAGCAAATGGGTATAATGAAATTATCAATCATGCAGATATAGAAATTCCAAGCAACAATGATGATCAACAAAATGGGTTAGAGGAACTATCTAATGCTGTGGACTCTAATCACTATGTTGGTCCACCTTTGTCATCATTGGCTAAACTGCACATTGAGCCTGAAGCAAACACGGATAAAGTCCCGATGAATGATTTTGTTCTAGTTCCGAAGGACGCTATAGCTAAAAGTCTAGAGAGGGAGGCAGATGCCCTGGGCATTCAGTTACAGCAAAGTGAACCTTCTGTGAATAGTGATTACAAATATCAGAATAGAATCGGAAAGAGAAACAGAGTAGGTCATCAGTCGGATTCATATTTTGTAAAAAGGCAAAATGTCAAGAGCAACAGTCTGAAGGGTAGCCCAAGGATGTCCTCAAGGATACGTCATGAACATTCTTTTCCACAAGAACTTGTAGATTTAGTCAGAGAGGACAGCATGATTAGTTCATCCCCCCACTTTCCTCCAGTCTCGGCCTACAAGAAAAGTCGATTCCTTGATAAACTTGATCAAAGGATTTTCAACAGGAACAAAGACACGCTTTCCTCCCATGGTAGACCACGCACTTCACAGGCTGATGCAAGGAAGAGCCAGGGGACATCTTCAAACAGACCCAGTCTTAAAAATCTGTTACGTGTGGCTGTTACGGTGCAAAACCCAAGGGTTGAACCAGGGCATATGCAGCACAGCTCAGTTGGTATGGATGGTAAAAAGATCAAAAGTGACCTGGCACCTAACCATGAAACATCTTACCTAAGGCATCTGATGCAGTTGAAATCTTTCGCACCAGAAAGCAATAACCAAGCAAGACACTTGAAACTTGGGAAAAGACCAGGAGATACTGACGATTCTGAATTCATATCTGAGAGAAACGAGAAAGTGAAAAAGCGGGTTCTCTCTCCCAGTTGGTGGAAACAAGGCCGTCAGTCCAACCCAACATTGAGCCCCAGACGCCTGCCCAAGCGTGACACGGCTAAAATGGCAAAGCCCATGTTTGAGGCCCGAGGTTTGTCAATCTGGGCCAATAGTAAGACAGTTGACTTCGACACTATGGGAGAGGGTGACCACACCTACACTTTAACCGTGTTGGCCATAGACAGACCGGAGTATGGGTCTCCGCAGACAGGGACCACCATGGTGCTGGTTCAGGTGAGAATATGTCCATTTGCATACATTCTTCATTAAGCTAATTGTATTTCCTGTAACTTCACGTTCTCTGACTGATTATAATAATTTCACGAATAATGACACCATATTTTAGAAAAGACCCACAAACAATCTTATTTATGTTTATTCATTATTGGTATGGGTGGTCCATAGACCTAGGGAGACAGCCTCCGTGGGTTCGATCCAAGACCGCGTCATACCAAAAGACGTTAAAAGATGGTACTTGTTGTTACCCTGTCTGGCGCTCGGCATTAAGGGGCTAAAACAAGGACTGGTCGGCTCGGAGTCAGTATACCGTGTCTGAGTGGGGTATTCACGTTAAACTGCGGCATGGTATTTCAGTGAGCTAGCACTATAAATCGGTATCAGTCCGGACTAGTACAAGCAGCCACACACACACACACACACACACACACACACGCACGCACGCACGCACGCACACACACACACACACACACACACACACACACACACACACACACACACACACACACACACACACACGCACACACACACACACACACACACACACGTGCATGCACGTCGCTATATAAGTGTAATAATCTTGGATGCGACGATAAACCCCATTTCACCTCACCTCACCATAGACCTAGGGAGTTGTAACAAGTTGAGAAGAATCAGATGTGCTATATCTTCATCATCTTTTCTGCAGGTGCTACCTGTCAATGAGTTTACCCCCGAGTGGACGGACCACCCAGTTAATGATTCAGGTTGGTTCCCGTCTCTCCTCGTCAGGGAGAACGTTACGGTTGGGACGAAACTGATCACCCTCGGGGCCACAGACAGGGACGGTGGGGAGGACGGCAGGATCACCTACACCCTGACGAAGATCACAGCAGGTAGGTGGTCAGTGATGTGTACATAAGTGGCCCATTGTTGTTTAGTTTCTGGCTTTTTAAAGACAGCCGGACGCTTCACTCATCTTCATATGAACTCCTTACTAATGGTAGCTGATGGATCTTCCCATATCTCAATGTGTCATTGGCACGCACTAAGCCAGTCTTACCAAAAAAGGGGCGGTAGGGTAGCCTTGTGATTAAAGCGTTCGCTCGTCACGCTGAAGACCCAGGTTCGATTCCCGACATGGGTACAATGTGTGAAGCCCATTTCTGGGGTTCCCCGCTGTGATATTGCTGGAATATCGCAAAATGCGGCGTAAAACTAAACTCACTCACTCACTCACTTAACAAAAAGATGACAGTAAAAATTATTTAGCTGTTTTAAACTCACAAAAACGTCATTGGTGTATCATATGTTATTGAATTTTTTTCTGAAATCTTTAATGAGCATACAATTCTGCTTATTTATCTCAAACTATCAAAACTTTTTTTTTTTTTAAAGACAAGAAATGAATTCCCTGAATAATAATACATTATTGTTGGCGAGTTGAGTTGCATCAAAGTGACATGTAAAAACAGATCAGTGTGTTAACGTTCAGAACAACCGACCTCCCAAACCATGATATCTGAGATTAGCCATTACTGAAATAAAAGTTGTTCCCGTTGCAATTATTCGGAACGGGACCATTTGAATTTGTCCTGGCTAGAATTGGCTCCCTCGAAACTGATCGTAATGGATCTGGTGTTCAGGGTGTCGTGGTTGTTTGTTCCCTGAAGGTGTGTGGATAGTTCCTCATGATATCAATCATTGTTTCATTTCGATTGTGTACAGGCAACCGTTAAACAGCTGGAATATTGTTTGTAATATTTCTATGTAAGACAGAAATTACCATAATTTCACAGCCAACGGAAAGTCCGCCATCGAGGCCTTCGCCATCGAACCAGATACCGGAACCCTGACGAATGCTGTGAAACTCGATCGCGATCCCCGCACTGGCGGCGTCACCCACTACGACCTTGTCATCACTGCCTCTGACAACGGTGAGAACCCTTTCTCCACACAGGGTAGGATGCGGATCAGCCTTGTGGACGTCAATGACAACCCTCCAGAATTCGTCAAGCAGTTGTATGAAGCCATTCTACCCTCCGAGTGGACGGAACTCTCCAACTGGAAGCTCCAATTGGCTGTTATGGACCACGACAGGAAGGCGACTTTCAAGTTCAAGATCGTCAAAGGTTGGTGGATATTACCCAGGACGCCGATTTTGTAACGTTGTTATCTGACTCAGTAATCCTGTACAAGACAGAAGTGTTGTAGGAGGGCTGGTCAAAATGTTCTAAGCCTGACTAACTTTGAACTATGGGCCATAACAAAGTGAGTGAGTGAGTATGGTTTTACGCCGCTTTTAGCAATATTCCAGCAATATCACGGCGGGGGACACCAGAAATGGGCTTCACACATTGTACCCATGTCGGGAATCGAACCCGGGTCTTTGGCGTGACGAGCGAACGCTTTAACCACTAGGCTACCCGACCGCCCCCATAACAAAATGAACCACTAGTACATTGTTTGAGTAGTTCATTGCAAGTGTATTTGGTCTGTTGAGGCCGTTTGTATACTACTCAAAAGAAGTTAAGGATCACCCAATTCTTTTCGATTACTATAGTTAATCTCTCATTCCATCACAGATTAACAATAGTAACTTGAAAGAATCTGCTGATCTTTACCTTCTATTGAGTAGTATATATTAGTGACAGGCAGTTGACCTCGATAGGGTCCAAATGGACACAGAAAGAGAAAGAATGACGTCTGAGAAAGGTACTCCCCAAGAAATTCATGACCGTATGTCACAAGTATATGGGGATAAGAGCCCAGGCTATTTCACTGTTAAATGGGCAGCTATGTTTAAGGCTGGGAGAACATGCTTTGATAACGACACCAGGTCTGGACGTCCCTCAACTTCCTTCAATGAAGATTCAATCCAGGAGATAGAAAAACTTATACTGTCAGATAGACATATTACCCTCGTAGGCAGAGGTAGACATGGGCGTAGCCTGATGATATTAATTTTACACTTCGCTTTTTTGTTCAACGTCCACTGGTGGCCCAGTTGTCTATGGAGCAAATCGTTTTTAGAGTTGTGTCCCTTGGTCGTGCCAGTATCCGACTGTCATGATTCCCAGATTTGCCCTGATTATAATTCTTGGTTTGTCAGCACCATACCCCAACTTGGTTTCATCATTGTCGTAAACATCTAATCGCACCTTTACTTCAGGCCTTACTTCAACAAATCAGAATAGGACTGTGGAGAAGCATAGAGGTTAAAGCGTTCGCTCGTCACGCCGAAAGTTCGGGTTTGATTCCCAACATTTCCCAGCCCATTTCTAGTGTACCCCGTCATAATATTTATTTTAATATCGCTACTACAGGTGTGATACCATACACGCTCACTTTAACAACAATAATGTTCAAAGATGCCTGAAATCAAACGTACCAACTCATTCTCTACTGCTTGACAGGTGATTCATCAACGTTCAACATACATGAAAACACGGGGATCATCACGGTGAGGGGGACGCCGGACAAGACGCTGCCCTACAAGGTGTTGACGGTCAGTGCGTCGGACGGAGGGACCCCGGAGTTGACCAGCTCCACACAGGTCATCATACACACGCAGAAATACAGTTTTGACCAGGTCCGAGCCGCTATTGGTGAGTTGGCTGCTTAAGACATTAATGTTTGAACTGATTCAAAACATACGCTGTGTAATATACTTATATCGTGATTGTCAGATAGCTTTATAAAAAGCTTTACTGAACGGGCGTTTTTAATGCTGATATCAAAGTTGATTTTGATGGTATGTTCTTGGTCGATAGAGGATGATAATATCGTGGTTCATGGGCTGCTTTTAAGAAACCCAATGGTACGATGTTTTACTTATACGGCCTTATACGCCGGCCTTCATCACCAGAGCGGCTTGTAGATCCCGTTAAGATTCTTGGCAAGGACTCCAAGCACTGGCAAGGCTATAGTCAATGAGTTGGTTACCTGAAGCTGTGACCCCAGACATTATTTATGAGTTGGTTGTTTAGATACGCCGTGATGACCCTGGACAGAACTGGTTCCCAACACTCTAATGATTGTCGTAAGAGGTGACAAATGCCGACTCTCCCTCATCCACGCAGACTGATAAACAAAACAAACAAATAAATAAGAAAGTATGTTATCTTTGACAGAAGTGATTTCAGTGCACACCATGTACCACAAATGGAAATAGTGTCAATAAACATTAAAATAGTAATAAAATACTGAAACTTTAATGCCAATTCTCAAATTCAATTTTCAAAGATATGTCTCTTTTACCCGTAGTTTATCATTAAGCATGAACTTCCGTATGACAAATGCCCTTTTTTCCAGTTTATCCATTTTAGAATAGAAATAATTAGCAAACTAACTTGCCAAACTCATTCCCCATTCCGGGATGTGTTTATGTCAATACTGTTACTTATATTGCTTTGATTGTTTGTTTGTTATTTAACGCCGCACTCAGAAATATTCCAGCTATATGACGGCGATCTGTAAATAATAGAACTGGACCAGACAATGCAAACAATAACAGACTTATGGGTAACAGGACGTCAGATTGACTTTTGATCGTATGTCACAAGTATATGGGGATAAGAGCCCAGGCTATTTCACTGTTAAATGGGCAGCTATGTTTAACGCTGGGAGAACAAGCTTTGATAACGACAACAGGTCATCACTTTGTCAAGGAGAAGAAATAAATGATGTACAACATCTACCGACTGCTGTTTTCTCCAACAGACGCCAGGACCAAGTCTAGCGGGCCGTGGGTGTTCAAGATGCTCAGCGGCGTCTTCGGCATCATCCTTCTCTTCATGATCATTTTCTACGTGACCAAGAAATACGGGTACGAGGACTCCCCAAATTACCACGACTTTAATAACATTCTTAATATGTTAGTAATATGCTATAGTTATAATGGTAGAGCGACGCCTGGAGAGCGGAAGGTCCGGGGTTCGATCCCCAGCCGCGTCATTCCAAAAGACGTTAAAAGATGGTACTTGTTGTTACCCTGTCTGACGCTCAGCATTAAGGGGCTAAAACAAGGACTGGTCGTTTCGGGGTATTCATGTTAAACTGTGGCATGGTATCTCAGTGGGCTAGCACTATAAATCGTTATCAGTCCGGCCTAGTACAAACAGCCACACGCACACATGTACATGCACGTCGCTATATATAAGTGCAATAATCTTGGGCACGACGTTAAACCCCATTTCACCTCACTTCACCTTTAGTTGATAAAACATATGCCAACTGACATTTTGATTTCATTGAATGTTCATGTATTCCACAAGTCATTTCAGTAGGACAGAACATAATTAAAATCTTTAAGATTCTATTTAGAAATAGGTTGTACTACGTTATAAACTTAAGCGATAGGAAGGCATGGTATGAATTATTGACAAACTTTGACAAGCCATAAGTTATAGCGTTAATCATGCTTTTTTTGTAGTACCACATCTGCCACTTTTGTAGACTTCTTGTGGTGTTTGATCGGAAACGTCATATGTTTCAGCTTATGCTCCTCTGTGGTCAGGCCCGACATGGACAAGACAGATGACGACGGTGGGATATTCACTCTTTAAATCATATTTTCAACTTTAAGTCTAAGTCACGTATTTAAAAAAACATTTCGTAAACACACCACTAACAATGTACCGTGAAGGTGAATACAATGGAGGTGAAGGAGTTTGGTTTTCGCTGTAGTCAGTACTATGTCAGCAATATCACAACTGACTGTAAATAATCGAGGCAGACAAACGAGTCGAGGACAGCATGAACAAACAACGATACACGTCATAGCACACAATCAACCAGTTCGAAGCCATCCTGTCCTCATTGGTTGGAATTAAACCCCTCTCTAGGCATCCAGCATGTCACATAATTTGTCTTGGCATCATATTTAATAACTCTTGAGCCACATCCGTGTACACAACTGGTACTAGTAAATTATATTGGGATTTCATGTAGAATGCATGGCCATGTTTGCTTATAAAATAAGAGCTAAACATCTTATTGATTTGTGACTCTTTGCAAGGCGAAACATAATCAACATAAAATATAGGCATTCGTGTACCAGATAGACATTTCATGGCATCACTGCGGCATCCGGAATACGCACATCCGGCATATCAAAAGGGCATATCGTTAGCCGGCTCTCACCACCACCTAGGGTACTAGGGACCTATTCTGTTCCTTACAGAGGCTATGTGAACGAATAGCACTGCAGTTCGATGTCTAATGTACCACAAACGTTCTCTTATACATAATATTATGAAATTATTTGGAAATACACGATTTATCAAATCTTTAAATAATTTATATCACGAACCGAAATGCTTCCTCTTGAAACTGGATTACTGTTATTATGTATGATATTTATGTATTACAAATATTAGTTAAATATTGCGCGTTCTGTAGTTTCAGTTAACAGATCCCGTGTAATAAACATTGCCCCGCCACCTGACGTCACGAACAGGGCAGATAACTCCGGCATAGAGGTACGTAATATTCACGTTCAGAATCAACTCTTGGGAGGTGAGTGATCGAGTGTGGTTTTACGCCGCTTTTGCAATATTCCAGCAATATAACGGCGGGGGGCACAGAAATGAGCTTAACACATTATACCCATGTGGGGAAACGAACCCGGGTCTTTGGCGTGACGAGCGAGCGCTTTAACCACCGGCCTACACAACCGCACCGGTGAGGTGAGGTGAGGTGAAATGGGGTTTAACGTCGCGTCCAGGATTATTGCACTTATATAGCGACGTGCATGCATGTGTGCCTGTCTGTGTGTGGCTGTATGTACTAGTAGGACGAGTTCCAATGAGATACCATTCCGCAGTTTAACATGAATACCCCACTCAAACACAATTCTGACACCGAACCTACCAGTCCTTGCTTTAGCCCCTTAATGCCGATCGCCAGACAGGGTAACAACAAGTACCATCTTTTGGTATGACGCGGCCTGAGATCGAACCCCGGACCTTCCGCTCTCTGGGCGGACGCTCTGCAATCTACTCTGGACAGTTACTACAAGACATTTACTTGGTAGCTTACACCTAAATATGAAAGTAGCATACGTGTTAGGTGGTGTTTCAGACACAGGTTGATGCTTCCAATCTACCATTTTGTACAACCAAATATAAATGGTAAGGGGTAAAGACTGCACGGATGCTTCAGATATATAAATTGAGGCATAATACGGCTTTGTCGGTAATATGTGTATATTTATTGCAAGTGACCCCGACAAAAATACTTGAGAACACATCGACAATGTTAACGCACAAACCCATGAAGATCCGGGATAGAATAGGTCTTCAGCGCCCATGCTTGCCGTAAAAGTCAACTATGCTTGTCGTAAGAGGCGACTAATGGGATCGGGTGGGCAGGCTCGCTGAACTGGTTGATGCATTTCATCATATCCCAATTGCGTGGATCGATGCTCATGTTGTCAATGACTGGATTGTCTGGTCCAGACAAGATTATTTACAGACCGCTGTCATATAGCTGGAATATTGCTGAGTGCATCGTAAAACAAGAAACATACAAACAAACAAAACAAAGTACAACCAAATATAAATGTTAAGGAGTAAAGGCTGAATTGATGATTTAAATATGGTACATGTCTGTAAATCTATATCATAAAATCGAACCTCAGTTTATATTCAAGTCAATTTCTTCTTTAAACCAGATCTTCCTTCACCACTGATCATTTGCAATTAGCATTTGACTATGTAAGATTAAAGAGTATGATTTTCTTCAACATGTCTGTTAACATTTATTATGATTTAAACTTTTATGTTTTATGTGAATCACATCATAGCACCATCATCCGTCTCAGTTTGTTTGCAGTGGTTGATATTCTGTCTTACGTAGTTTAAGTAAAATAGTTTTGTCCTCTAATCATGCTAATTGATCAGATATCAGGTCAATAACAATTTGAATGTCCGCAGTGTCGGGTCCATAAAATGTAATGTCCTCTGTCTAAGGTCAATATAAATTTAACGTCCTCCGTGACAGGTCAATATAAATTTAACGTTCTCTGTGACAGGCCAATAAAACATTCTTGTCCGCTGTGTCAGGTCAGTGAAACATGTGTCTGCTGTGTCAGGTCAGTTAAACATGATGCCGCCTGTATCAGGTCAATGACACATTTATGTTCACTGTGTCAGGTCAATGAAATATTCATGCCCACTGTATCAGGTCAATGACACATTTACGTTCACTGTGTCAGGTCAATGAAATATTCATGCCCACTGTATCAGGTCAATGACACATTTATGTTCACTGTGTCAGGTCAATGAAACATTCATGCCCACTGTATCAGGTCAATGACACATTTATGTTCACTGTGTCAGGTCAATGAAACATTCATGCCCACTGTATCAGGTCAATGACACATTTATGTTCACTGTGTCAGGTCAATGAAACATTCATGCCTGCTGTGTCAGGTCAATAAAACGTTTATGGCCTCGGCGACAGGTCAATGACACATTTATGTCCTTTGTGTCAGGTCAATTAAACATGTATGTCAGCTGTGTCAGCCTCAGTCCTATGACAATACTGTCCAATCTCTCACGTATCGGCGAGCGTGTCAGTTATTTGTCCTCGGATGTCAATGTGTTGCTATTATACAATGCAACTTTCTGATTACTCTGGTGATACTTCTATTCAAGCCGATTTTGCTGTTTAAAAAACTATAACATGTTGTTTTATCATTCATATATTCGTAAAAGCTCTCACTTTAGGGATCTATTGTCTTGTGTACGTTAGTGTATACACGTACCAAATGAAAGTGTGTAACACATTTCCTATAAGAATTAGATCTTGTATATCAGCCTGGTTCCACGGGTAGGCTGCGCACGTGCGGTGTAGCGCAGGGTGAATTAATGCTCGGTAAGAATTACTGAAAATAAGTTCACCTTCATCTGTGCTATACGAGTAATATTGAATTATGCTCTAAACTAACTGTTTCTTCGACACAGCACGTTGATGTTCGCTCTGGAGGCATGCGACACCATGGGGGCATAACTTCTCTAGTGAGTGTTCAACTTCCGAGATATGGAACATGTTAGAAATGGTCACTGAGGCCCTAAAGTATTTAGAAAATGTTAAAAAAGGGAGACAGGTTATATATTGAGCATGAAGACGGAATTGGACCTCCTTCAGTGTACTGTATGTACATGGTATCTCGGTAGAGGTGTACCTTTTGAATCTGTTGGAAATTAGTTTACATCCGAACAGATTTACAGTTTTAAATAGAATGAGCCTAACACTATAAAATGACGTTATTTGTTAAACATTGTAGATGGGAGACGTATAAATCACACATGTTAAACCTGCGTCACACATGTTACACATATAATCACACATAATGTGTGTACTCAGATACATGTCAGACATGATCACATGGTAATATTATATCACACATATTTACAAAAAGCATACATAATCCATCTTCCCAAGGCAAGGGCGTTGACTGACTATAAAAGTCCAGTTTCCACCCTTGCTTAACTAGGCTCGATCGTAGCGCCACTAGTGGCTATTACGAGTTATGTCCCTTCTATGCCCCTCCTGTTGACCAATAAGATCTCTCATATCACTTGCATTTGCTTCAAACAAAATGGCGGTGCTCAGGCAAGACGATCTGATCGATAATCAAGATCTTTATTTAATGAAATGGGTCTTACCCCACGAAGTACATCAAATCACTTGCGCACCTTGATTAAAAAAAATTGCAAAGATTTTCAAATATCTACACACACACTAACACACACATACACTGACACACACACTAACACACTAACACTAAACTTAGTTCGTTATAACCATATAAATAAACAACATCTATGCAGCAAATTATTATTCGTCAGTACGCTTTATATCTGTCGGCATTACACAGTCTGTAAGACAGTAAAACACAAAATGGAAACACCTTGTATTTTAAAGAAATATCCAGTTTTGTTAATACTTGTAATCAGTTTAACTTAAGATCAACGTACAAGTTTAACATTGTTTCCATAATCGTGGTACAGATGACTGTCATCCCTGATACACACACACGTCAGTAACCACAGCAATGTTAACATCCACGTCGGGAGAAAGATGGACGGCTTGACACAGATGGCATTGGTCAGATCCTCTGGTAGTGTTGAATGTACAGTTAGTTCACCCATTGGAAGCAAGATGTGTTTATGCAACTGACGGTGACATCCATCAGAGACGGGAGTTGCTGGTCCTAGCAGTAACTGACTGTTATGCACTGTCTATACTCTTTCTTATACTTGCATATTTCATCTTCTCAGCAGTCCGTGGACGAAGGGCAGGATGGACATGCGCAGGAGAGTATCTCCAGCATGGTAAGCAGGGGCCGTCTCAAAAGCCCATGTGCTATTACAAACTGTTGTCTCTGTCCAATATGAAATAATATGTAAGGTCACAACCTGTTTTAATAAATGACAGTATAAATCATATATGTCAGCTGTCAATATGTCACAGAATGGACTTCGGTATTTGTTCAGTTCATAACCTATGGACATTAAGTATATGTAAATAATTATTTAAATTAACACATATTTTATTCATATTGTCAAATAATCCCAAAATTATTCTCAAGTATATTGATATGAGGCATGAAACTTCTTATGTCGTTCTACTCGGCTACACTGTTATGACTGAACAAAGCTTGTCCATTGTCATTTAGTAGAGGAAGCCCTAAAGGTCATTATCAAAATGTCGATTTGGAAGAGTTGAAACGGTTGCTTGCATTAGTACAACAGAAAAACTGGGCCCACTTGCACAAAGCTATCTTAGCGCTAAGACTATTGTAAGCCTATGTTAAAGTATGGGGGTTACGATCATCTTAGCGCTAAGATCGCTTTGTGCAAGTGGGCCCAGATCAAGAACATCTACATGTAGTCACGCATGGCGTTTGGTTCTGTCCAAAGGACACTCGTTTGAGAACTACACCAAAATATAAAGAATTTACTTATTCCTTAGGACTTGATGGATAATGTGGTATAATATTCATATAATTCAAATTCAGTTCCTTTTAGCACTATTGTAAACTTCTTGTCAAAACACATTCTGTATTCTGTCATCACCCCCCTGAGTTTTGATAGAACGCCTTTTTTTATAAACGTCTACATCATTCTGTCCTCATCATTCCATCACTATTCACAATCTTATAAAAACCCGATCTTCGTTCTCACTACCGCCGATCAAAAATCTGAGGAAATCCCATGACGGGTCACGTCAGAGCGACCTTTCCTCCGACCAATCAGAGCATCGCTTACTAGATCAGGAAAATGACAGTCGGAATATGTTTTCTTTTACTAGATCAGGAAAATGAAAGTCGGAATGTGTTTTCTTTTCATGCAACATCGCAATTCCGAACGAATGTTACTGACTGTATATGTGCTTCCCTAACTTCATCATCTTTCGCTCGCTTCAGTAGGATAAACCAAATACCATATGGTGTCTGGATAAACTTTGAAACGGGAGAGATGTTCCATAGCCCATAGGAAGTACTGCCATACAATCTCCGCCATCTATTAGACATTGCAGAATTTTCGTTTGTTCTGTTTTCAAATACTTTTCAAAGCGTAGTCTGGAGTGTAAGTCGCCAGTTTGAAGCTAGTGCCGTAAAGCTGCTTTCTGATTGGCTGATGTTAACTTCTTGCTAGTCATTTCATTGATCCTTCAAGGTTTGCGAAAGGTCGTTCTGGCGTGACCTCAAATCTTTGTGTAGCGGTGGAGAGAACTAAGACCTGATTTTAATGAGATTTCATTATCCATCACATCTCCTAACTTTTCGTGTATTCTTCGGTAGATCGTGAACTTCAGTCAAGAATATTTGATGAATTGAGCCTGCATTGGATAACGGTATATATGATGGCAGCTAATGGTTCAATGGTTTATTCTAATTCAGAGAAAAGGTCACCGTTACTGATACTCGAGGGATGCAAAGCCGAGAGGCAATCAGGTACTCAGATGACACGACCCATATCTTGTAAAACGACTACTCGTTTAAAAGTTTGTTTTTTTATTTCAAGGCATAACCAGAGTAAGTTCCGTAATTTCTTTTTCAAATGGTTTAATTGGTTTTGGGATAACATATGTTGTACTTCTAAGGTGGTGGGTTTAGACACTTTTGTCATTTGTGACATCATTTTCATGTGAAGACACGCCAACACCAAATGCTTCGAGTCTCACTAATGCATGGTGTCGTATTTCCTCTAATAACCGCTTTTAATAATACGTATATTTGTTCCAACCTTCCCTTATTTGTAAAATAACATAATCAGATGCGGTGTAGATGTGATTAGACGGTCAGGTTGGATCCAGGTACCAGAAACACGGGAAAAAAATCAGAAACATGAGAAAAAAGATTAGTGCGTTAAAATTTAAAACGTCACATCGGCAGCATCTCAGCCATTTTTTAATAAAAAAGCGAGGTGAGGTGAGTTTCTATTTTTGGTTGTTAATCTGACGTTGATGCTTCACAAACACCTGGTGTCATTTGCTGATTTTTAGTGATTCACGGCTATTTGCCTTTCACGCCCAATAAAATCTGTTTCGGCAGATAATTGAGACAGGTTATTCTCAGGCGTTGACGTATTATATTTTGTTCCAATCACGGCGTTTTGAGAAAATAGAGGTACAATTTTGAGATCAGATTCGTATTTTATATTATCTATGGAATGTAATATATATTGTGAAGAAATCCAAAAATAATCAACTGAATCTTAAAAATGTTGGTTTCTTTGCTAAATTATGCAAACCTTGCTCTGGTTGACCAGTGTACAGAACTGTTTCACCTGGTTGACCTCATGTCAGGCAGGCCCTTCTGTCTATCACGGGGGCAAGGGTGACCCAGTCGTCAAAAGCGCCGACATTCGCTGTGCAGAGTTGCCTTCCTTGGGCACGCCAGAAACCTATGATTGTGGGTTCGAATCCCGGTTCGCCCCGATTATGTTCCTAGGTTTATCAGCACCATACCCGTGCTCGTGGGTTTCACCGAAGTGGTAAACGTCAGAGACCTGCATCACTTCAGGCTTTCCTCCCACATTAAGCTGACACGCCGTGATATAACTTGAATACTGTTAAAAGCGGCGTCAAACCCAACTCACTCACTCACTCTACATATCTCTTTTGTGTTTATGTAGGTAGTGGTACGTCATGTTTGTCAACCACGTCAATCATTCACTCCATCTGTTTCATTATCTTGCTTTTCATTCTCTGTGAATGTATTTTGTTAATTTGCCTCTATATGAAGACAGTGAAACAAGGTAATATGCATTTGTGTTTATGGAGGTATAAACGTAAAACCGGTGTGCAAACTGTGTAAATCCGCATAGCACTCCATAAACACAAATACATTTTAATGTCAATTCTTATGAATAAATACGTCAGCAATAATAACTTCACAGACTGCTTATTTAATGATTAACACAAACAAACTGTAGACAACAGCTTGATCTCGTGGTTCAGCGCAAAAATGCAACGCAGGCCCCGCCCATTCTATTATCAGCCAATCAGGAAACAGTAGTTTGTTACTGGGTGTGGCCTAACCTTTTTCGGTTTATTTAAACATGAAAGCAAAGCAAATTGCTTGGTTAGCCAATCAAATGCCACGAAATCGCTTGCAGTTTGTTTATTGTACGATAGACAACCGCCACTCGTCGTTTATTTCTTAAATAACATGTCTTGAGTGTAAATGTACTTTCTACCATGAATTTTGAAATTACTCGACTGTGATTGGTCAATCAGAGGTTGTCAAATCACAATAAACCCCATCAACTCCATCAATGACCATCTGTCATTATTTTGCCTTGTCAATGTGGAACTTACGTAAAAGGAAGTCAATGCTTTCGATAAAGGGAGACAATTTGCGGGGAGGTGACAATAGTGTTATGTTCACTGCAGTGAAATAGCAAGTGGTATGTTCACTGCAATGAAACTATAACTTTTATCAAATTCAGAAAATTCAGTCTTTCACACTGAAGTATAAAATATATGGACCTCTTCTTGTTTCAAGTTTGAAAACAAACGATAAACATAATACGGAAATGTGTACGTAACACATAGGAAACAAACGATTTCGTTTAAGAAAGTATTTTTACCAATATCAGCATCAGGATTTTGAATAATATTGTTTTCAATTTGAAATGATAATCTTGACTTCGGTGTTTATAACGTAGATTAAGGATAATTGTAGTGTTAAAACCATAACAATATTGTCGTTAAGACGCTGAGATTATTAGCTGAGTAATGTTGTTCCCAAAACTATTCGCGTAGTAAAAATCATATATTAGGAATACATATTGTATTTTTAATTCCCTAGATATGACATTTGTCGTGCGGAAACAAACACTCCTGGATAATATATCTTTATCACATAATGTCATTTTTTAGATAATTGAAGTTTAAGACATTTTTTCATTCAAGCATCTTCCCGAGGCAAGAGCGTCAACTGACTATTAAAGTCCGGTTTTCACCTTTGCCGAACTAGGCATGAATTCCCAGGCTCGACCGTAGCGCCACCACGAGTGGCTGTTACGAGTTATATCCCTTCTACGTCCCTCCTATTGACCAATCAGATTCCACCTCTCATGGAACTTGCAATTGCTTCAAACAAAATGGCGACGCCCAGTGAAGACGATATTATCGATAATCAAGATCTATATTGTAATACAACGGGTCTTACCTTGCGAAGTGCATCAAGTCACTTGAGCACCTTGATAAAAATCATGGAATCACTTTGGAAAATATCTGTTGACGCCCATTTGGCGGTACACATGCTGTGCAAATCATGCAGTCGACTGAAATCCATATTGTCTACGAACCGGATGTCTAGTTTGTTATGCGATTTTGATTGGACTATGCATAGACTCGTTAGTCCAGCCAAAATGTAACTCGGGAAAAGCAGCCTAGTTCGGCAAGGGTGAAAACTGGACATTTTATATGTCAGTTAACGCCCTTGCCTCGGGAAGATGCATTGAAGTCACTTTAGCAGTGCGGCGAGGAGTAATGGAGTTTAATGACGCGTTCATGATTATTGCACTAATACAGCGACATGCATGCCCGTGTGCGCGGTCCGGTCCGGATGTATGCTCGCTTACACGGATGTTTGCATAAGCGCTCGCACGAAGGGAAAACCTCTCTCTGAACTTTGTGGGAACGTAGGTAATATTTTTTAGCAAATATACAACGCATCGATATATGGAGTAGAATAAAAAAATAGTTGACCTCATTTGCATATTAATCGAATCTTAACACCAAGTTTACCGCATTGTGTTTGTTACATCAATTGCACTATCCATTACATGATAAACATATGTCTAACCTTTGTTTTCAATCTGCAGGGTCCTGCTTACACTGGTCTCAAGGGGAACAGACGCGGGGAGCGATGATGATGATGATGATGATAATGATGATGATGAGGTGGACACTTTTTTTACACTGGATTCTTTAGGGCGACAGGCATCGCTCGTCCTTACGACGTATGCTTCACTTCTTGAACACATTGTGTTCGTGCAAAACGCGCCTTGCCAAAATGAACGTACCGAACAGGACATGAAGACTATGACTGTAACCTCTAGGAACTGTTGCACTTTCTCGTGACATTGGACTGCATCGAATCCTTGCATTTGTCAAATCGTGTTTAGATTCACGTGTGGTGTTTTAATACGAAAGGATGTGTTACTTGTGACGTTTAATGTGTCGTTCTACCTCATTGTGTACACTGCACGTTCAATATCATAATAACAGTCTCACCAAGGAACAAACACGAACTCGAACGTATCTCCGATTGCATAAGCCACAAATAAACCAATGTGGTAATGCAATATCTCGAAGGTATCCGACGGTCTCAACCACGTTTCCTGTTCACATTCACTTCTCGAATATTCACACGAGTTATATTAAAGTCTACTTTACCCTATTTAACATAACAAATATACTGTAATATTCGTTCATCTACTGAAGATACCGTATTTGTCGTAATAAGCGCACACGGCGATATTTGCTAATATATTGGCCAGTGAGCAATCTCACTTAGTACCCCTTCCGATTGATCAATGCACACAAGACTTATTTATTCGTATATAATACGCATTCGTGTGTTATATGCACCCTTAATTGTGGGCAATTAAATCCTGGAAAAAAATTTATGTCGTATATAAACATTTCAGGCTGTCAGCATAAACCATGAAATTTACGAACTTTTTTCACCAAAATAATATTCCAATAAGAGCCCCCTATTTCTAATTTCGAGAGCGCCCTGGGCGCTTATTACGTCGAATACTGTATTAGTTTGTTATTTCATCTTTATTCACGGCCATTTGGGTATGGATACTTTCACCTACCTGATACACCTTCAGGGGCGGTTGGGTAGCCTAGTAGTTAATGCGTCCGCTCGTCACACGGGAACTCCCGGTTTGATTTGTCATACGGGTACAATATGTTAAGCCAATGATGTTCTGGGAAAATTTTCTAACCCAGTCACTCACATACCTCCACCCCATATGATTGTTATAAGAGGCGACTAACGGGATCGGGTAGTGAGGCTCGCTGTCTTGGTTGATGCATCGTATCTTAATTGTGTCAATCGATGCTCATGATGTCAGTCACTGGATTGTCTGGTCCAGACTCGATTATTTACTCGATCATATAGCTGGAATATTGCCGAGTGTTACATTAAACAACAAACAAACAAACAAACAAAAACCTCCACCCCCATAGGGAATTGGCCCCTAGCACGCTATTGTTTATCTGAGGCGACCAAAGGGATCAGGGTCCACTTGCACAAAGCGATCTTAGCGCTAAGACTATTGTAAGCCTATGTTAAAGTATGGGAGTTACGATCATCTTAGCGCTAAGATCGCTTTGTGCAAGTGGGCCCTGGTGGTCAGACACGATGACGTACTTGATTGCATGTCGTGGATCTCCCACAGGTTTGTCGGGCCCAAACTCGATAATTTAAAGGCCGTCTTGGTGGAGCTGAAATAATGTTGTCTATGGCGTAAAACAACAAACAAACGTGGATAAACATATGATACATGTCAAGGAAATTAATAAGCTGCACGTTCAAAACATATTTTCAAATAGTGCTAAGAAGGGATTTGTATATTCCTAATAACGTGTGCTTTTTCATAAATATTCATTTGCACAATAATTGGTTGGAGTTGTGTATGTTTTGTTTTTGCTACTGACAAATACAAGCAACCTGCTTTAGTTCAACGTTATTGGCGATGTTGTTCGTAAAACAATTGTTGTTATGAATGAGTGGCAGTGGGTGTATATTATCAATAATGTGACGTCCATCTTGCGATTTGTTTTTTAATGGCTTTGCCTGTTGTTTATGTTATAAAATATATATCATATACTTTGTTGGCAGTCTGCTGTTACCAGTTTCTAGTTATTGTAATAAAGTATTTTATAGATATTGATATTTGATACATGGTTATTTAAATCAGATGTTTAGTTTGTACGTTTGAAAGGTTTTATTGCAGTCACTTAAAGTGCAAGAACGTCTTTTATAAATAGTTTTGATTCACAGGTTAGAGTTTATCAATACCTTTGATATTATCGGTTTTGTCACGATGTTTATTGCTTAGGTATTTATAACCTGTTTTGATTTTGAGATCACGGTTATTGCTTTATCGCAACTGTTGTGTTTTACATTCTATACAAAGGGATTTCTTGAATATTTTCCAAAAACTTCGCATTTGTACAAGGTTCTTTGTTCAACATACTATGTTGTGCTGGTGTATATTGGTTTCAACAGTGCAAAATCGCTCAAAACGGGTCATTGTACCAACTCATCTGGTCTGCTCTTTCCCTCTCCATAGAACGAAAGCAAGGGGACCTGGTCGTCTAGCTAAGGCGTCGCAATTCGCTGCGTTGCGTCCCCCAGGCCCGCCAGAAACCGATGATCATGGGTTCGAATCCCGGTTAGCCTCGATTGTTTCCAGGTGTGTCAGCACCATACCCATGCACGTGGGATTCTCCAAAGTGGTAAACGTCTGAGGCCTGCATCACTTCGGGCTTTCCTCCCACATCAAGCTGACACGCCGTGATATAAATGAATTCTGTTCAGAGGGGCGTGAAAAGAAACTCACTCACTTGTATGCTGTTAATCCATCACGGACACCTGTGTTATTTTGTAAGTCAGCGTGATGTGATAAAGTTACCGCACTGGCTGAAGTTGTCCACGTTCACAGTTTCGTAATCATAAAGAGCATGTTTTTGACATCATTTATATGCCTTGGTGAAAGTAAAGTCTGTTTCTTGTTTATGTGTTTCGTTACTACAATTATACACATTATTCGATCTGTGTGAAGTTTTTGAAATAAAGATACGTTCAGAATCCTGGTTAATTCACCATCGTATATCCTACAGGATGGATTTTTGCGAGTGTAGTGTGTGTTGTCCAAAGTAGCGTAATGTGTTTGGTGGATCGTATGTGTTCGTGTTTGGGGTGTACAAAGTGAGGTAGGCCATTGGTTGAAGTGTTCATGTGTGGTGTACGCCATTGGTTGAGGTGTTCATGTGTGTGGTGTACGCCATTGGATGAAGTGTTCATGTGTGTGGTGTACGCCATTGGTTGAGGTGTTCATGTGTGTGGTGTACGCCATTGGATGAAGTGTTCATGTGTCTGGTGTACGCCATTGGATGAAGTGTTCATGTGTGTGGTGTACGCCATTGGTTGAGGTGTTCATGTGTCTGGTGTACGCCATTGGATGAAGTGTTCATGTGTGTGGTGTACGCCATTGGATGAAGTGTTCATGTGTGTGGTGTACGCCATTGGATGAAGTGTTCATGTGTGTGGTGTACGCCATTGGATGAAGTGTTCATGTGTGTGGTGTACGCCATTGGATGAAGTGTTCATGTGTGTGGTGTACGCCATTGGATGAAGTGTTCATGTGTGTGGTGTACGCCATTGGTTGAGGTGTTCATGTGTGTGGTGTACGCCATTGGATGAAGTGTTCATGTGTGTGGTGTACGCCATTGGTTGAGGTGTTCATGTGTGTGGTGTACGCCATTGGATGAAGTGTTCATGTGTGTGGTGTACGCCATTGGATGAAGTGTTCATGTGTGTGGTGTACGCCATTGGATGAAGTGTTCATGTGTGTGGTGTACGCCATTGGATGAAGTGTTCATGTGTGTGGTGTATGCCATTGGATGAAGTGTTCATGTGTGTGGTGTACGCCATTGGATGAAGTGTTCATGTGTGTGGTGTACGCCATTGGATGAAGTGTTCATGTGTGTGGTGTACGCCATTGGATGAAGTGTTCATGTGTGTGGTGTACACCATTGGATGAAGTGTTCATGTGTGTGGTGTACGCCATTGGTTGAGGTGTTCATGTGTGTGGTGTACACCATTGGATGAAGTGTTCATGTGTGTGGTGTACGCCATTGGATGAAGTGTTCATGTGTGTGGTGTACGCCATTGGATGAAGTGTTCATGTGTGTGGTGTACGCCATTGGATGAAGTGTTCATGTGTGTGGTGTACGCCATTGGATGAAGTGTTCATGTGTGTGGTGTACACCATTGGATGAAGTGTTCACGTGTGTGGTGTACACCATTGGATGAAGTGTTCATGTGTTTCGTGTACACCATTGGATGAAGTGTTCATGTGTGTGGTGTACACCATTGGATGAAGTGTTCATGTGTGTGGTGTACACCATTGGATGTAGTGTTCACATGTGTGTGGTGTACGCCATTGGATGAAGTGTTCATGTGTGTGGTGTACACCATTGGATGTAGTGTTCACATGTGTGTGGTGTACGCCATTGGATGAAGTGTTCATGTGTGTGGTGTACACCATTGGATGTAGTGTTCACATGTGTGTGGTGTACGCCATTGGATGAAGTGTTCACATGTGTGTGGTGTACACCATTGGATGAAGTGTTCATGTGTGTGGTGTACACCATTGGATGTAGTGTTCACATGTGTGTGGTGTACGCCATTGGATGAAGTGTTCACATGTGTGTGGTGTACACCATTGGATGAAGTGTTCATGTGTGTGGTGTACACCATTGGATGTAGTGTTCACATGTGTGTGGTGTACGCCATTGGATGAAGTGTTCATGTGTGTGGTGTACACCATTGGATGTAGTGTTCACATGTGTGTGGTGTACGCCATTGGATGAAGTGTTCATGTGTTTCGTGTACACCATTGGATGAAGTGTTCATGTGTGTGGTGTACACCATTGGATGAAGTGTTCACATGTGTGGTGTACACCATTGGATGAAGTGTTCATGTGTGTGGTGTACACCATTGGATGTAGTGTTCACATGTGTGTGGTGTACACCATTGGATGAAGTGTTCATGTGTTTCGTGTACACCATTGGATGTAGTGTTCACATGTGTGTGGTGTACGCCATTGGATGAAGTGTTCATGTGTGGTGTACACCATTGGATGAAGTGTTCATGTGTGTGGTGTACACCATTGGATGTAGTGTTCACATGTGTGTGGTGTACGCCATTGGATGAAGTGTTCATGTGTTTCGTGTACACCATTGGATGAAGTGTTCAAACAGATGTGTGTCCTTGGATGAATGATTCGTGTATATCCGTGTCAAAATGAGGAACGCTGAGGAACTATTCTCTGACCCAGATCCCAGGGGGTCCAAATTGATGTTGGATCAGTCATTCTTGTACATGACATCTTCAATAGAATCTGATCAAGGCTTGACCTCCCAGCCTTCTAAGCATCTTTTCTTAGAAAGTTGCTTACCAATCTTACGGTGAAGAAAACACACATACACACACATGGCGTCCAAACATGTTTTATTTGACAACATAATATACATACAATCTCAATAAAATCAGATCTTAGTTCTCGCTACTGCCAAACTAAAATCTGAGGACGTCCCACAACGGATCAAGTCAGAATGACCTTCCATCCGACCAATTAGAGCGTAGCTTACCAGATCATGAAAGAGACAGTCGAAATTTTTTTTTCTGATCATGCAACCTCAAACAATTAACACTGGGTATTCCGAATGTTGGGCTTTATGACTTAATCCATACTACCTAAACCATTCCAGAAGTGAGAGTTTTGAAGTGTAGTTGCCAGTTTGAAACTAGAGCACGAGAAAGCTGCCTTCTGATTGGCTAATGACGATTTCTTGTCAGAGTTCACAAAAGGTTGGTCTGACATGATCCGTAAGGGGATGTCGTCAGGTCTTTGCTAAGCAGTAGCGAGAACTAAGATCTGATTTTAATGAGAATGAATATACAAACTTTGTATTTGACGGTATTTAAATATACCCTGCATGCCCTGAAAGCACCTCATTGTGTCCACGGACTGCATATGTTAAACCACAAAGAGTTCAACCCATCACGCATCTCAACACTGTTTAAGAATTGATCAAAATTACATTAAGCCATTCAAGACTGTTGTATTTGATCACATCATCACATTATTAATTTTGATCAACCTCGAAATTTGTCGGCATATCCAGCTTATGAACATCCCCCATAATTATTGTTATTGATAACAAAACATATTTCTTCATCTTCAACTGTGTCTGCATATTGCATAAATACAAAATCTATGTTCCTGGTAATCTTATCAAATAACGTGTTATTCTCAAAGACCTGACAAAGCTGATACTTTCATCTGAGATGCAGACAAAAGGTCAATTGTATCAGATCACAAGAGATAAAATGTTACTTGACAAGAAAAGATAATTATTCTAACTATTATGTATTTTCTTACATATCTTGAACAGTGCACGCATTCAGTAAGTTGTGTTAAATAAAATTACCGTTACAATGGTGCTCTATCAACCAGGTCACACATCATGGCCTTGATATATCCAACTCTTACAATAAGACCATGGTAGTCATAGCACTACGGTATCTGTGTGAAAGGACCTTGACCTTAAATGGTGATATACTTGACCTCTTTGGTAAAGATAGAAGACACAACTTACTGAACATTAAGCGATAGTGACAGTATTGTCTTAGCAATCATATCACAGAAAGAAACGAACCTTAATGCCTGAATCTCTATCACTGACAGAATAAATACAACCTCACAAATAGTATGAACATCTACCCTCAGTGAACTTCTGGGGAAAAGAGCCTGGAAAGTCATCTTTCTCAATGAGAAAGTATTAGACAGCCCAATGATTTTGGGGGCAGACCATTTGATTTTCGGGGCTGGGGGGTGGGGGATAGGAGGGTCCTGGGAATTTATCGAAAAATATTATTAATTATGCAGCATATTCTTGAAAAAAGAAAGAAATTGTCTGCCACAAAACTAATATTTTTGCAATGTGTCTTTTAGAAAAAACAATATTTTGGCTCATAGTTTTAATTTTTAAAAATATCAGGTTTTGCAGCTGCAGCTTTTGCATCTGGTCTCAATACAGAATCCCATCCCTGCCTCCCATGCCAGTGAGTGAGTGAGTGAGTTGGGTTTAACGCCGCTTTAAATAGTATTCCAGTTATATCGCGGCGTGTCAGCTTAATGTGGGAGGAAAGCCCGAAGGATGCAGATCTCAGACATTTACCACTTTGGTGAAACCCACGAGCACAGGTATGGTGCTGACAAACCTAGAAACATAATCGGGGCAAACCGGGATTCAAACCCACAATCATAGGTTTCTGGCGTTCCCAAAGGATGCAACTCTGCACTGCGAATCACGGTGCCTTAGACGAATGGGCCACCCATGCACCCCCTCCCGCTCCAGAATATCAAATGGTTGCTCCCTCATGCAAGCGACAATACAGCAATTTGCTGACATAGCAATTTAGCATAGGTGTCCAATGTTTCCAAGCCAGGTATGGATCTGGAGATGGTGACAACATCAGGATGAAGGTCACAGGTCATTTCGTATCCCTATAGTTCCATACCCATTACAAGCATCATTTTGTAAGGTGGTAGTTTTGTATCCCTAAGGTTGTTTCACATTCCAGGGTCATTTCACATCCAGTTACCTTCATACGACAATGTTATAAATGGATTTGACTCCATTTATTTAGAATAGGCCTTTCTTCAAGGACAAGATCTGACAGCGCCCAACAATAAATGTTGTATTGTCACAGTTCTAGTTGAATATAACAAGTGGTTCACATAGTAGTAACATTAATCAGTTGAACTGCTAAAGATTATCCAAAATACATAGCTGTTGTGTCTCCATCTCATGCAGAGCTACAAGTCTAGATCTGGGCCTATATGTTAAACATTGATTGTAGCACTACAACTAATGTAAGTCTATGTTAAACAATTGGACTTATAATAGTCGTAGGATTGGGGTCGCTTAGTGCATGTACCTGTACTGAAGACAGGTAGCACAGTGTTGTGTCACGTGCCTCTCTATTGCAAGGGTCAAGGATGCCCTCATGAACACAGAGCCAGCTTGTATTGCTTCTCTGTACATTTGTGACTACGAATTTGGTCAACAACTCACAAACCAATAATTATCTTAAAGGGTCCTCACAGAACATAGGAGGGTCCTGTTAAGTTTGTTTGTTGTTTAACGCTGCACTCAGCAATATTCCAGCTACTAGTATATGACGGCGGTCTGTAAATAATCGAGTCTGGAGCAAACAATCCAGTGATTGACATCATGAGCATCGATTTACACAATTGGGATACGATGACATGCATCAACCAAGTCAGTGAGGCTGACCACCTGATCCCCTAAGTCGCCTCTTACGACAAGCATAGTAAGAAAATGGTGAAGTGTTCTTCACTGAAAGATTTGATATCTACTTTAATTACAGCTGGGACCTTTATATTTCTCGTCAAGATATAGGTACAATAAATATCGTGTTTCCCTCGGGATGCAATATAATTTTTTCTGCGCCATTCTATACATTTCTAACACTGGATGCACATTTGTGCATCATGTAATACACTATTATCTTTACATCTTGTATATACACAGGATACTTTCATAGCACGACATAGATATAAACCCTTGGAATCCAGTCTTTGAAGGGCATATAGAAGCGATACACATATGGAAGAGAATCAGTGTTAGAAATTGGCACTAGTCCTGTAGTCCTTGCCAAACTGACCAATAGTTAAGGTATCACAAGGACTAGTAGAAATTTTCCATTTTTAAGGGTTTTGCTTCATGTTATCATTATAAGGACTAGTGAACTAAAACTGTTAGTTTCTACCGCTGAAAATTGATGGATGTCTAGGAATCAAGTCAAGTTTAAGCTCATCTGGATTTGGGTTGCACTGTCCCAAAGGACAGACTGTGTAAAAATCAAATATACTTGTAGTCTAAATCAATCAATATTTGTTCAAGCTGTCATCCGAGACAATATTGTTACATAACAACAGTGTACAGATTCAACTATTGTATTTAAAACTCTATTGGTCTCAAATGAGCCCACATTCTACAGCTTTGTAAAAATACAACTTTAAGTACAGTAAACAGGACAATAAACACATACCTCACTTAAACACAACTTAAATATGTGTATACCCAAATATATGTCATTTACCAAATAGATAAACTACAGCTGAGAACAAAGTATCATTGTCAAGACATTTAAGTCCCAATGGAGAAAGGTTGAAATCATTAACAATGTCCAAACATCACTGTTAAACTATTTCATGTACACAAGCTTTCAATGTTTCCATTAAGATAGACAGAATATCTTGTAATACTGTTCCTTGCATTAAATATTGTAGGACATTTAGGCCATTAGTTGCCTTCATAAGAATTTAAATACAACATAAGCGGAATGTCAGAGCCTCTAAATTAGTTCTTCATTTCAGCTGGGCAGTAACGTTACGACCACACCCTGGACTGAATACTTCATGATATCGGATTACTTGCTCCATCAACCTTCCTTTCATCAGGACTCAAATACATTACCTACACTATTGCTACACCGATGTCATATGGTTTGCTATCCAATGGTTAAATAAGGGGGAATAGTATTTGTGACACAGGTGTGTATTGCTCAAGGATCATAATGTGCCAAGCTGACTAACATGTTCACTACTGAATGAGATCTATAAGCTTCATAAACCTAATGACCAGATGAGCATGATGAATGAATGAATGAATGAATGAATGAATGAATGAATGAATGAATGAATGAATGAATGAATGAATGTTATTTTACTCCAGTCAATGTTTCGTATTATACCACGGCTAAATGTAAAACCCTGTGTCTGGGTAAGCAGACTGTGCTTGTGGAATCAGAATACAATCCATCCCATCTGGGTAATGACGCTTTATCAACCAGTGCCATGTTCTAAAAAAGCGATCTTAGCGCTAAGATCATAACTCCTATAGTTTATCATAGACTTATGACAGGCGTAGCGCTAGCAACACTTTGTGGAACAGTAGCCAGGTGTCACACTGTCACAACCAAAACTTCATTTCAGTCTGCTCGTAGAACTAGAATGGGTCCCACTCCAACCTTGGGTCCTACTCTAACATTGGGTCCTTCTCTGACCTTGAATCAAGTATGGAGTGAGTAAGTGAGTGAACGCTGCTTACGCCGCAGTCAGAAATATTGAGACTGGCAAGGCAGCTTGGAAGCAAGTTAAGTACCAGGTGTACGTGCAGTAATACTACCAACAATCCACAGTGTCGGGGAATGAGGTCATGCTACCAGCTCGTCCGAGCCATTCTAACATGAGTGAGTGAGTTTGGTTTAATGTCGCACTATATCAGTTATTTCACGGCAGAAAGCCCAAGGTGATGCGGGTCTTAAGATCTTTACAACTTTCATGAAACTCACAGATATGGTGCTGAGAAACCTAGAAACCTAAACAAAAGAAACCAGGATTCAAACCCACAATCAAAGGTTTCTCGTGATTTGCAATGCCTGACTGGCCACCTGTCCCCCTCACACCCAATCCCCAACCCACACCCTACACACACTCATTTTGTGACTTTTGTGGGTACTTGATGTGAAAGGGACACAACTCTGCACAGCAAATTGTGGCACCTTAGACGACAGATCCCCTGGAAAACCCACAAATGACCCAGGTCAAACATGTCTACGAGTATGGTGAAACCCATGTGCACAGATACGGTGCTGAATCCTGCAAGCTTTGGAGCGTTATTCTGCACTTGAGGATCACGTACATCATGCGATTAGACTGTGCGTCTACAAGGATGATTATATCAGATGATAAACTATATATGGATGAGGGCGTGGTTTTCTCAACGGTTAATGAAATGAATGGTTATATATTTCAAAAATATTACACACAAGCCGCAGACTAGAGTATATGTTCAATGTACAGTGACCACATCATGTGCAATATAAGAATCTTACAATAAGGAATTATGCAATCAATAGAACACTGTATGATAATCAGTAAACATGAACACATTTCACTGGATCCAAATAAGCAGATATTAAGGAAATGATTAATTAACCAAAACTTTCTATGGCTATGGCCACAGACTAAGTCACTTAGATCAGGATGATATGTAATCATGGTAACAAACTCAAACAAAAACAAGCTAACAGCACTTAGCAAGACAGCGTAACAATGCTTTCTATAACAAGGAAACAATTAGCGTGATGACAAATGGGAATATGTACAGACTAGGCTAAATATCAACATGGTCAAGACACAAAGAAGTGGCTGTCCATACAAGGTTATGACACATTAGGTGGTGTCCACACAGGTCACGACACATGAGGCGGTGTCCACAAGAGGTCACGACACATGAGGTGGACGTCCACATAAGGTCATGACACATGAGGTGGTGACACCAGGAGGTGGACGTCCACACAAGGCCTCACATGCAACTGAAGGTGTGTGTCTACATAACGTCAATGACACACTCACATTATTTGCAAGGATTCTTGAAGGGAGACTACTAGTCAACTATCACAGTGCTGGCAAACAAGCCCCTACATTGACTGAGCAGTCGGCATTTGGAATAGTAACACAAATATTTCATCCTGCAAACATGGCCAATGGCCTCAAAGATTGACTTATGTATGCACGGGTTACATCAACAGACTGTGCAGGATGCATATGGAGTGCAAGTGTAGAGGAGCATTTATCAGTAGCTTGTCTGAATATATAAGGCTAACGTCCATCTAGAATCTGGAATCACAGAAACTTGTGGAGATCTGACGAAAACAAAGCAGCTCTGTCAAAGCTTGAGTCTAGTATGAGTATTGAACCAGTTATTTGTTCTCCCGTGTATGCCGTGCAATGTTCCGTGAAGACTTGTGTGCTTTGTCCTGTTTAGTGTTCACAGGGGACTTCTTTTTGTAGAATCTCTCAAAAATACTGAGTAGCTGCGTCTCGACGTCTCCCAGGTACGGCCTCTTGGAGGAGTCCCTCTCCCAGCAATGCTGCATCAGGTTGGCACACTCCTCATCAAACGTTGCCAGCTTCTCGGGACGCAGGCCTATAATACAGATCACATCACATGATCAAAGGCATCTTAATCTAAGGGAGATAACCTTGCAAATCAAAGCAAATGAGCATGAAGGTTTTTAATATTCAGAGCATCAAGGATTGTGATTGAGTATGGTTTTACGCCGCTTTTAGCAATATTCCAGCAATATCACGGCGGGGACACCATAAATGGGCTTCACACATTGTACCCATGTCGGGAATCGAACCCTGGTCTTCGGCATGACGAGCGAACGCTTAAACCACTAGGCTACCCAACAGCCCCAGAGCATCAAGGAAGGGAAACCAGGAAGAGGTAAGGTGAAATGGGGTTTATAGTCTCACTGAAGATTATTATACATACATGGTTTTACATTGCTTTTAGCAGTATTCCAGCAAAATAGAGTGACATGTATGCACGTGTGTGTGGCTGCTTGTACTCGTCAAGACCAATGCCAGTTTTATAGTAATAGTCCATTGTGCATGTTGAGATACCATGCAGCAGTTTAACAGGGATCCCATACCTACCAGTTGTATTTTACATCAGAAAATTTCTTCACAGAATTTCTTTATGATTATCAGTGACTCACATGTAATTATAACTTATAATAATAATAATGATGATGATGATGATGATGATGATAATAATAATAATCCATTTATATGGCGCTGTATGCACTAAGTGCTTTGACATTGCCCTTATAACTTGCATACCTTTCTTGACGGACTGCCAGAGATGGTCTTTATTTGCACATTGCTCAAAGGCTGAGGGTAGTCTCACGTGACCTGCACAGATGTACCAGAACAGGATACCGAAGGCATACACATCTACGCTGTTGTCATAGCGGCCAGTGAATAGTTCCGGCGCCATGTGTATAGGTGTGCCGACAATACTGCCGCTCATCATGGCTTCTGGTTTACAGAACCCAAGATCCGTGATCTTCCCCCGGTTGTCACGGTCAAGCTGGGGAGGTAAAGGTCAATGATTTGTTTGTATGTTTGTTGTTTAATGTCGCACTCAGAAGTAAATAATCGAGTCTGCACCAGACAATCCAGTGATTACCATCATAGCATCAATCTACGCAAATGGGACACGGGTCAATGAGTCTGACCCCCAAATCCTGTTAGTTGCGTCTTGTGACAAAGCAGGGTTGCTGAAGATCAATTTGAACCCCGGATCTTCACGGGTATGATAAGTGTATAAATTCAAGTTGGTCAGTGGTGTATTGACTACCTATACTAATGTACTGTAACTGTGGAATGACAGTTTACGATGTCAATGGCTGACACAGATACTATGCTAGAATACTGGTAGACATAATAAAATGAACAAAAGTTTAACAAGCATGGTAAAATAGTATCAAAATAAATTAACAATTATTCCAAGTAGTCAGAAATGTACAACAATAAATATGCCTTCAGTCTTATATCTAAGCAGAAGTTCTGGTCTTTCATTTGAAAACCACTTTGAACAGCATTAAATTAATATCACAGTGTGCCAGCTTAATCATCTTAATGTTGAAGGAAAACCAAAAGTGATTGATTGAGTGAGTATGGTTTTACGCCACTTTTAGCAATATTCCAGCAATATCACGGCGGGGAACACTAGAAATGGGCTTCACACATTGTACCCATGTAAAACCCTGTGAAACATTAATTGTTTGATAGGCATTTCTTAGAAGTTGAGGTGAGGTGAAATTGGGTTTAACGTCATGTCCAAGATTATTGCACTTATATAGCGACGTGCATGCACGTGTATGTGTGTGTGTGGCTGCTTGTACTAGTCCGGACTGATGCCGATTTATAGTGCTAGCTCACTGAGATACCATGCCGCAGTTTAACATGAATACCTCACTCAGACACAGTATACTGACTCCCAGCCGACCAGTCCTTGTTTTAGCCCCTTAATGCCGAGCGCCAGACAGGGTAACAACAAGTACAATCTTTTAACGTCTTTTTGTATGACGCGGCCCGGGATCGAACCCTGGACCTTCCGCTCTCCGGGCGGACGCTCTACCACAAGACCACGGAGGCGGTCCTTAGAAGTTGATGGATGACAAAGTAGACAAACATTTTATAGATAACAACTTCTTTATTATACTGTAATAGCAACGTTTCAGAGTAGATCCTTGCTTGACAACGGTGTAAGGATTTAACCAAAACGTTACTGTTACAGTATGATAACGCAGTTGTTAACCATACTTATCTACTTTGCCTTATGAAACAAGCTGACAATGATCATAACCAGTAATTATATGGGATTTAAACACAAATTAAGGTGATCTGAAGGGATGCAATGCTGCACGGGAATTTGTGGCAAGTTCACAGGACTACACATACTCTTCTACATCATACTTTTGATCAAACATTTGATGTATACACTTGACACGAGTGAGAGTGTAACTGAAGGTTATCTAATGCTGCAGTTTGTAATATTCCCACCTTATTCCCATTCAATCAACAGTCCAGCCACCTGGACAATCAGAGTCCGGCCATCCAATCAACAGTCCAGGCACCTGGACAATCAGAGTCTGGCCATCCAAACAACAGTCCAGCCACCTGGACAATCAGAGTCCGGCCATCCAATCAACAGTCCAGGCACCTGGACAATCAGAGTCTGACCATCCAATCATCAGTCCAGCCACCTGGACAATCAGAGTCTGACCATCCAATCAACAGTCCAGCCACCTGGACAATCAGAGTCTGACCATCCAATCAACAGTCCAGCCACCTGGACAATCAGAGTCTGACCATCCAATCATCAGTCCAGCAACCTGGACAATCAGAGTCTGACCATCCAATCATCAGTCCAGGCACCTGGACAATCAGAGTCTGACCATCCAATCAACAGTCCAGCCACCTGGACAATCAGAGTCTGACCATCCAATCAACAGTCCAGCCACCTGGACAATCAGAGTCTGACCATCCAATCATCAGTCCAGGCACCTGGACAATCAGAGTCTGACCATCCAATCCCCATTGTAGTCAGCTCTTACGACAAGCACAATGTATTCTGACCCCGAATTTCACCAGGGTGCAGTCACATAAAGATATGGATATAGTAGTCATGTATACATGAGGCACAAGGACCAAGCTAAAGCTTCCTGTATACTCACGAGCACATTCTTGAGTTTGATATCCCTATGAACCAGGCCCTGGTTATGAAGGAAGCGGATTCCCTCCACGACATCAATGGCTATCTGTAATCTGGGGGAAAAAAACATCCTGTGACTTTAACAGAGTAACCCAATATCTTCCACACAGTTCCACAATACACATGTATCTCACACAACACCAATCTCACAAAAATCAGATCTTAGTTCTTGCTATCGCTAAACAAAGATCTGAGGACATTCCATTACTAGTCTTACACACTACACACACCTGCTGATCAAGGCCAACCCCTGCTTGATGGCGGTGTAGAGATCTCAATGACCCCTATTACACACTACACACACCTGCTGATCCAGTCCAACCCCTGTTTGATGGCGGTGTAGAGATCTCAATGACCCCTATTACACACTACACACACCTGCTGATCCAGTCCAACCCCTGTTTGATGGCGGTGTAGAGATCTCAGTGGCCCCTATTACACACTACACACACCTGCTGATCCAGTCCAACCCCTGCTTGATGGCGGTGTAGAGATCTCAATGACCCCTGTTACACACTACACACACCTGCTGACCCAGTCCAACCCCTGCTTGATGGCGGTGTAGAGATCTCAATGACCCCTATTACCAATCTCATTAAAATCAGATCTTATTTCTCGCTACCGCTAAACAAAGATGTGAGGACATCCCATTACGGGTCACGTCAGAATGACCTTTCGCAATTTTGACCGACAAAGAAATGACTGACAAGAAATCTACATTAGCCAATAAGAAGGCAGCTTTCTCGAGCTTAACAACACTAGTTTTAAACTGGCGACTATGCCTCGAAACATATTTTGACGTATTCTCGATTTAAAAAATTAAAACTGATAAGAAGAACACTCTGGAATGGCTTATAGATGGCCTAGATTTTATGGATATAATCATAAAACCTGTAACTGTCGTTCGGAATACCCCGTGTTAAATATTTCGTGTTTGCATGATTAGAAAACAGATTCCGGCTGTCACTTTCATGATCTGGTAAGCGACGCTCTGATTGGTCGGATGAAAGGTCGTTCTGACGTGACCCGTAATGGGAGGTCCTCAGATCTTTGTTTAGCGGTAGCGAGTACAAAGATCTGATTTTAATGAGATTGACCCTATTACACACTTCACACACCTGCTGATCCAGTCCAGGCCTTGCTTGATGGCGGTGTAGAGATCCCGCTGGAGTCTGTCCATGACAAGCAGCACAGCAGGCGACATTCCTCCACCATACATGTAGTCAATCACGGAGCCATGCAGGGACACAATCCGGTCATGTTCTGGAATATTTCTGAAAACAAAACCAGACTTTTGACATTATCTGTGCAGTAACTGACTACAAAAGCTTCATGTTTGCATAAAAACAGTCCAAATGGAGGGTTCATGTATGACAGTGAGTGATCACATATGCGATGACAACTGATATTCATTATTTGATTTTGGGTACCTTGGTAGCCCAGTTGTCTAAGGCACTGCAAATCACTTGGACACACCAGAAAGCTATGAACGTGGGTTAAAATTCTGGTTCATCCTGATTATGTTTCTAGGTCTGTCAGCACCATACCCGTGCTCACTGAAGTGGTGAACGTCCGAGACCTGCATCACTTCAGGCTTTCCTCCCACATGAAGTTGACACTCTGTGATACAACTGGAATAATGAAAAAATTGGCGTACAACTCACTCATTTATTTTAGTATTACCTATGTTTATACAGACGTTCTTACTTTGTGTAGAAGAATTCCAAGGCAAGATCATTCCAGTGCTTGTCATCAGGGGGGACAACTGACTTGATGGCACAAGGGGAGTGTCCTGACCACGAGTCACACGCGTACACGACGCCATATTGGCCACGCCCAACCTCTCGTCCCATCTGAGGCATACCTGCACGTAAAGAACACAAGGATGACTTTCACGTGTTGACTGAAAAGCCTTACAGGAATTATGGAAACATGACAATAACTGACAAATAAAGATGTATCCTAATTATTTTATCCTAATTATCAGTTTCTACCAGAAGCAGCTCACCATCTTACATCAACATCCTTGACCCACCATATAGTACATCCCTGATTAACCATTCAACACAACATCCCTTACTCACCATACAACACAACACCCCTGTCTCACCATACAGCACAACATCCTTGACTCACCCTAAAGCACACCACCCCTGACTCACCATACAACACAACATCCCTGACTCACCATACAGCAGAACATCCTTGACTCACCATACAACACAACATCCCTGACTCACCATACAGCACAACATCCTTCACACAACACAACATCCCTGACTCACCATAGAGCACAACATCCTTGAGTGAGGTGCTCTCCAGTGCAAGTTTGGCCACCTTGGGAGCGTGAACCTTCCTCAGCTTCAACCTCTGCTCCTCTATCTTGTCCAGACGGCCGGTGTGCTTCGTCTCCAGTTGTTTCAAAGCTGACAGAAACGCCTCATGCGATTTGTTCAAGCGGTCCTTAATCTGGGAGGAAATACTCTTGGCTAACCTGAAATACATTTAATCATCTTGAGAAACATATAGAATGAGAGAGAACAGGAGGGTAAACTCTGCACTTAAGACAATGCTCCAGCATGTCCAGGAAATAGAGGCAAACAGTCAATTTCACTTATTGTACCCATAAATGGTGCCCACTAAACCAGTCCTGTGCCTCACTGAGATTAAACACTCCACGTGTCACACAATGAACCCTCACCTGTCACACAACCAACTCTCACCTAACACAAAATCAACTCTCACAGTCACACAATCAACTCTCACAGTCACACAATCAACCGTCACCTGTTACACAATCAACCCTTGCCTATCACACAATCAACTCTCACCTGTCACACAATCAACCCTCACCTGTAACACAATCAACTCACACCTATCACACTCATCTGTCACCTGTCACACAATCAACCCTCACCTGTCACACAATCAACCCTTACCTGTCACACAATCAACCCTCACCTATCACACAATCAACCCACACCTGTCACACAATCAACCCTCACCTATCACACATTCAACTCTCACCTATCACACAATCAACCCACACCTATCACACAATCAACCCTCACCTGACACCTATCACACAATCAACCCACACCTGTCACACAATCAACCCACACCTGTCACACAATCAACCCTCACCTGTCACAATCAACCCACACCTATCACACATTCAACTCTCACCTATCACACAATCAACCCTCACCTGTCACACAATCAACCCTCACCTGACACCTATCACACAATCAACCCACACCTGTCACACAATCAACCCACACCTGTCACACAATCAACCCTCACCTGTCACAATCAACCCACACCTATCACACATTCAACTCTCACCTATCACACAATCAACCCTCACCTGTCACACAATCAACCCTCACCTGACACCTATCACACAATCAACCCACACCTGTCACACAATCAACCCACACCTATCACACATTCAACTCTCACCTATCACACAATCAACCCACACCTATCACACAATCAACCCTCACCTGACACCTATCACACAATCAACCCATACCTGTGACACAATCAATCCTCACCTGTCACAATCAACCCACACCTGTCACACAATCAACCCTCACCTGTCACAATCAACCCTCAACTGACACCTATCACACAATCAACCCACACCTATCACACAATCAACCCACACCTGTCACAATCAACTCTCACCTGGCCTCACTGAGACTCCCAAGCATGTCTGCGGCTACCTTCTCCTTCCAATCCACATCTATCTTGGGCGGTGTCTTCCACGGCATTGACTGAACCATCTGTGGACAAGCAAAACAGTACAATCACCAACATGTTTTGAACATCCTATTGCAACTCTCAGATATAAAAGACTGGTTTAGTGTACGAACCATGTATAGTATGGCAATTCCTTTTCACTGAAGACTGATCCCCTTTTTTCAGTTTGTACTCTTGCCTGATACAATACCGTTTTCAACGTAATAACCGCCCAGGGCGCTCTCAAAAATTAGAAATAGGGGGCTCTTATCAGAAAATTATTTTGGTGGATAAAAAAACGGAATTGAAAGATAAATTTTGTGGTTTATGCTGACAGCCTGAAATGTTTATATACGACAGATATATTTTTCCAGAATTTAAGTGGCCATAATTAAGGGTGCATATAGCACACGAGTGCGTATTATACGCAAATAAGTAAGTCTTGTGTACATTGATGGTGTTAATTGGGATTGTTCACTGGCCAATATATTAGCAAATGTCGCCATGGGCGCTTATTAGAGCGGGGCGCTTATTACGTCGAATACGGTAATAAATTTTCTTGATTATCAGCCGAAACATTTTCCATTGAGCATAAAAGGCAAAATTGATGTGAAAACTATACGAATGGATCCCTTAAAATCAATGACACCAGGTGTTCGCGAAAAGATCCTGTCCTCATTCTTTTCCAGTAAAAACAAAACGTCCAGCAAACATTGATATTATTGTTGTAAAACCTGTAGCAATATTAATTCTGTACAGTATTTTTTAAAAACAACCTAGGCCCCAAATAGAATATAAAATGGTTTGTACCTCATGATGGGTATTGTTCTGACTTTCGTATTGCAATTTACTGCAACAACGCTTCCTGTATTGCAATGCATACCACAACATATTGCATGTGTTCTTTCATCTGTAATTAGTTAGGAACCTGAATATAAAAACTTCTCCTGCATATTTTTGACAAATTTGCATTTTGTTGGATGTTGCTAATGTCACAGCAGATGTGTAATAGACACATTATATACAGAAAACTAGTCGCAAATAGTTCTGCTTTTTTCGAACACAGGAAACATGTGCTAATTTTGTAATTTCACAATTTCGAGTCGATTGGTATCGTAAGAATTTTTTTCAAGCAAGATGAAGGTATGCATGATTTGGAAAAATGCAATACATCAGTATTTTCCAAATGAGTTGAGTTGAGTTGTGTTTAACGCCGCTTTTAACAGTATTCCAGTTATATCACGGCGTGTCAGCTTAATGTGGGAGGAAAGCCTAAAGTGATGCAGGTCTCAGACGTTTACCACTTTGGTGAAACCCACAAGCACGGGTATGGTGCTTAACAAACCTAGAAACATAATCGGGGCGAAACGGGATTCAAAACCACAATCAAAGGTTTCTGGCGTGCCCTAGGGACGCAACTCTGCACAGCGAATTGCGGCACCTTAGACGACTGGGCCACCCGTGCCCCCTATTTTCCAAATGTACTGTGATGCAAATTCATTAAAATTTCATATCGTATTATACCGGTAATACCGCGCACCTCTATTGGTACCTAACTGGTCATTGTTAAATTGACGACTTAACACAGGGACCAACCTAGCAGAAAACATTCCCAAGATATTGTTTCTAAAATGTTTAAGGTCAAGAAACTATGCCTCCCACATGATTTTCTATTATCATGATCACATTCACTCGAGCCAGTGCTCACGGTACGATGACACGAAGGGGAAAGTCACCGAGCCTGACCTCCGATCACTACAAGCACAGGCTGCTGGGGACATATTCTTATCCTGAATCCCCAGGGACGCAGGACATGATGTAGACAAACTCTTTCCCCTACCTGCTTCATCCTCTCCAGCAACACCTTGATGAGGGATGAACTGGACCTCACGGTAATCTCCACCTGATACGCTGCATTCAGAATCTGACAACAGAACAACATAATCCACCTTTACATAATCCATCTGGTTATAATCCACCTTTACATAATCCATCTGGTTATAATCCATCTTGGCATAATCCATCTTGGCATAATCCATCTTGACATAATCCATCTTGGCATAATCCTTCTTGGCATACTCCATCTTGACATAATCCTTCTTGACATAATCTATCTTGACATAATCCACCTGGTTATAATCCATCTTGACATAATCAATCTGGTTATAATCCATCTTGACATAATCTATCTTGACATAATCCACCTGGTTATAATCCATCTTGACATAATCCATCTTGACATAATCAATCTGGTTATAATCCATCTTGACATAATCCATCTGGTTATAATCCATCTTGACATAATCCATCAATTCAAAGCCAGTTAATGAGTTGGGGTCCAAAGGTACTAGGGGTGGGGTTGCTTTCTCTTGCCCAGGCACAATGCAGCTTCAGGTATTATGCCAATAAGTTAAAGCTCATAAACAGGGTAAATCTAGAATTCAACTCAGATTCAACAGAAGTGGTGGCAGGTTTGAACTCCGGTAGCCTTTGTACCACTGGGGACTTGCACTGACTTCAGACAATACAAGCGGTGTGAAATGGGGTTTAACGTCGCGTCCAAGGTTATTGCACTTATATAGCGATGTGCATGCACATGTGTGTGTGTGTGGCTGCTTGTACTAGTCCGGACTGTTGCCGATTGATAGTGCTAGCCCACTGAAATACCATGCCGCAGTTGAACATGAATAGTGAGTGAGTATGATTTTACGCCGCTTTTAGCAATACACCACCCCTTGAACATGAACACCCCACTCAGACACAGTATACTGACTCTGAGCTGACCTGTCCTTGTTTCAGCCCCTTAATGCCGAGTGCCAGACAGGGTAACAACTAGTACCTTCTTTACGTCTTTTGGTATGACACAGCCAGGGTTCGAACCCCGGACCTTCCGCTCTCCAGGCAGACTTTCTACCACTAGACCACGGAGGCGGTCGACAATATATCGATTTCATGTGTAATATGCAGCAGCCATAAATACTGAATTAACATGCAACCTGTCATTATAATCTACATGGTTGAACCAGTGCAAACTAATATTTATGTCTACATGATTGTAAAAAAAGAAATGTGTCTGACTAACCCTTCCTTTCCCACACTCCAGCAAACACACTTAGTACCTCTAAGGTTTATGTACCATCACTAATGCTTATGGTACCTGTATGTGTAATTTGTCAAGCTTGTGCTTGACATCATTCAAACTTATGTGCACATGTTCTTGTAATGTTTTGTATGATGCATCATTAATTCATGTAAAATTGTGACAAAGGCACCAGAGATCTGAGATTTTATTTATTTAGACTAATTTATGCATTTGTGTTTTAACTTTGATAAATTCATGGGACCAGGGTGCACCCTGGTTTTGTCTAGTGCAACTAGGTTTTCTATCAACATGCATCTGGTGCAAGTAAATTCAAGTTCCTTAAATCTGCCCTGTTGTGTGAGGCAACAGTGTTTCTGGTGGAGCACAGTCCTTACAGTACTGACAGTATATCTGTTGGACATAGCCCTTCTTGCAATACTGACAGTATATCTGGTGGTCATATCTACTTACAATACTGACAGTATATCTGGTGGTCATATCTACTTACAATACTGACAGTATATCTGGTGGTCATATCTACTTACAATACTGACAGTATATCTGGTGGTCATATCTACTTACAATACTGACAGTATATCTGGTGGTCATATCTACTTACAATACTGACAGTATATCTGGTGGTCATATCTACTTACAATACTGACAGTGTATCTGGTGGACATAGCTACTTACAATACTGACAGTATATCTGGTGGACATAGCTACTTACAATACTGACAGTATATCTGGTGGTCATATCTACTTACAATACTGACAGTATATCTGGTGGTCATATCTACTTACAATACTGACAGTATATCTGGTGGTCATATCTACTTACAATACTGACAGTATATCTGGTGGTCATATCTACTTACAATACTGACAGTATATCTGTGGACATAGCTGCTTACAATACTGACAGTATATCTGGTGGACATAGCTACTTACAATACTGACAGTATATCTGGTGGACATAGCTACTTACAATACTGACAGTATATCTGGTGGACATAGTTACTTACAATACTGACAGTATATCTGGTGGACATAGCTACTTACAATACTGACAGTGTATCTGGTGGACATAGCTACTTACAATACTGACAGTGTATCTGGTGGACATAGCTACTTACAATACTGACAGTGTATCTGGTGGTCATATCTACTTACAATACTGACAGTATATCTGGTGGTCATATCTACTTACAATACTGACAGTGTATCTGGTGGACATAGCTACTTACAGTACTGACAGTATATCTGGTTGACCTGGCTACTTACAGTACTGACAGTATATCTGGTGGACATAGCTACTTACAATACTGACAGTGTATCTGGTGGACATAGCTACTTACAATACTGACAGTATATCTGGTGGACATAGCTACTTACAATACTGACAGTGTATCTGGTGGACATAGCTACTTACAATACTGACAGTGTATCTGGTGGACATAGCTACTTACAATACTGACAGTGTATCTGGTGGACATAGCTACTTACAATACTGACAGTGTATCTGGTGGACATAGCTACTTACAATACTGACAGTGTATCTGGTGGACATAGCTACTTACAGTACTGACAGTATATCTGGTTGACCTGGCTACTTACAGTACTGACAGTATATCTGGTGGACATAGCTACTTACAATACTGACAGTGTATCTGGTGGACATAGCTACTTACAATACTGACAGTATATCTGGTGGACATAGCTACTTACAATACTGACAGTGTATCTGGTGGACATAGCTACTTACAATACTGACAGTGTATCTGGTGGACATAGCTACTTACAATACTGACAGTGTATCTGGTGGACATAGCTACTTACAGTACTGACAGTATATCTGGTGGACCTGGCTACTTACAGTACTGACAGTATATCTGATGGACATAGCTACTTACAATACTGACAGTGTATCTGGTGGACATAGCTACTTACAATACTGACAGTATATCTGGTGGACATAGCTACTTACAATACTGACAGTATATCTGGTGGACATAGCTACTTACAATACTGACAGTATATCTGGTGGACATAGCTACTTACAATACTGACAGTGTATCTGGTGGACATAGCTACTTACAATACTGACAGTGTATCTGGTGGACATAGCTACTTACAATACTGACAGTGTATCTGGTGGACATAGCTACTTACAGTACTGACAGTATATCTGGTGGACCTGGCTACTTACAGTACTGACAGTATATCTGGTGGACATAGCTACTTACAATACTGACAGTGTATCTGGTGCACATAGCTACTTACAATACTGACAGTATATCTGGTGGACATAGCTACTTACAATACTGACAGTGTATCTGGTGGACATAGCTACTTACAATACTGACAGTGTATCTGGTGCACATAGCTACTTACAATACTGACAGTATATCTGGTGGACATAGCTACTTACAATACTGACAGTATATCTGGTGGACACAGCTGCATGCGTTCAGAGATTTATCTAGACCTGCTCAGAGGCTAAAATTCAGCCCCAATTCGGCCCCAATGACAGTACAAATTTCCAAAGGTAATTACAAGTTTCCCAATTCCTCAGATTTTATGAAAAAAGAATATTCAAAAAATCAAAAATTTTGAAAATATCACAGTACTTTTCCCAATTTGCCTGCCAAGGGCACTTAGTTTTGAATCCTAGCTGAATCCCTGGTGCTGCTGTATTTAGGTATCTTGTAGAGACATTTGTCATTGGTAATATATCCTAATCATCATGATCTTTACATTGATTGCAGTCATCCAGATAATGTTTTGAGCATCAATACACACCCCTATAACATAAAAGAAGGAAGAACAAGTACCTGTTTGAGAGCATCTGTTGTTTTGGCTCCCTCAGGATTTTCCCTGTCCAAGGACTCCAAGCTCTCTAAACACCGGGTCAGTGTCCCTGCAAATGTGAGTCCATGGATCATGAGTGTCTTACTATGCAGTCAGAAATTATGGTTGTGGCACAAAAACTGTAAATAATCACATTGGATAAGAGCAGTATGAGCAACTGGTTGACAGCATGCATAATAATCCACCTCATCAAGGTCATACCCAGACAGCCAGGTCAAACATTGATGTGAATCTCACTATAGCCGTAGTCACCATATTCAATCTACACTTTACACAAAACAAGGAGAAGTTGACCACAAGGAAATGACATGAAGACAATAGTTGACCATGTGAAAAGATGGTGCTTAGACTCTGGTTAGAAACATAGGTTTATTTGCCTCTCTTATCAACTGCCTCATTCATTCAAAAATAGCATCTGGGTGGGACTATGATCCATGATGTAAAGCCCCTTGTCTGTCTAGGTCTAGTCTGTTTCCCAGAGCCTTGAGAACATATTAAAACAAGAGTTTGCCACTGACGTGGCTATATCCCCCGCCCCTGTTGCAGAATTTATGACATAATTAAATCTAAACAAACCCTAACCTTTTTTAACCAATCGGAAATTGTCATGGAAATTGTAAAAAAAGAAGAGTTTGGAACCTAAGTCCATCTTGTTGCCATGGAAACGTAAAAAATGTAAATTTCTAAAATTTCTAAATAGCAAACGGCACCAGTTCAGCATGTATCTGACAGACATGCAAAGTTTCATGAAAAAATATTGAAAGGTTTCTGAGTTATGCTCCGGAAACGACCCTACCCTCACAGAACCCAAGTCCATCTCGTTGCCATGGAAACGTAAAAAATAAAAATTTCTAAAATTTCTAAATAGCAAAAGGCACCAGTTCAGCATGTACCTGACAGACATGCAAAGTTTCATGAAAAAATATTGAACGGTTTCTGAGTTATGCTACGGAAACGAAACGTGACGGACGGACAGACGGACGGAGCCCGTTTCTATATCCCACGCCAACTTTGTTGGGCGGGGGATAAAAACAAATTCCTGTCTAGAAGGATTTGGCTTCTTATTTAGTAGATCAACTCCAGGGCAAAAAAAAAGAATACACTTCAAATGGAACTGACTCAAAATTTCAAATGTCATGAAAACTTTTCAAGACTGAAAACCTCAAAAACAGAAAATTTGAGGTCTAAAACACAACTGTGGTACCCATATCGAATACATCACCATCGAATACATCACCATCGAATAACCGATTCTCGCTTGTTTCAATTTTAACCACCATCAAACATGTTTGTATTTTCTATTGCCCCAGCAATTTACAAAGGTTTTTAATACGATAACTTTATTTCTAAATGTTCATCTGGTCTAGGTCTAAACGTTGCAGTTAGTTCTGCGCGAGACACTAAGACATTGTCTCTGTTAGTTAGGTACACAGTCAATGCTAGACAGATACACACACCACAAGACTTGACTTAGTACAAAAACAGAGTGGTGTTGCACTGACTGCCGTCAAACATCCCAGTTCTAGGTTCCACACACACGATGCCGGATCATCTTTCCCTAGAAGTTAACAATCATTTCCCAGCAACTATCCGCTATGTTTTTCCACATGGTTTTTATTCCCAGCAAGAGTACAGATACATGGGTTACATACAAGAGCACACAGTTTGGTATGCAGAGTTTCAGATGGACATTGGTCACCGACCACTGACCGATAAAATTACAATTTGACAGATAGTTTGTTCTAGTAGTCAGCCTTTTGACCAATAGAAATGCCACACGTATGCCAGAAGGTGTCACACTATCATAACTTCGTAATTAAAACTTAAATCGTAAGGATTAGTCCTACTTACAGTATCGATATAATAAAACAATGCGCAGACATTAAAAATTGTAATTGAAATTCTGAGCAATGCGTGTCTTTGCATCATACTTTCTGTATCATAGGGAAACACTGTCAGGAGCTACAGTGACTTAATCAAGTGCATTTCTTATCCCTCATGCCCAGATCAAACATTTTCATTCGATCACAAATGCTATTGCTTTGACTAGTTGTTATGGTTCATCCACCATTTTTGTTGATTTGACTTACCGTATTCGACATAATAAGCGCCCTGGGCGCTCTCAAAATTAGAAATAGGGGGCTCTTATTAGAATATTATTTCGGTGAAAAACAACTGAGTTGAAAGATTGTAAATTTCGTGGTTTATGTTGACGGCCTGAAATGTTTAATGTCCCATAATTAAGGGTGCATACAACACACGTATTACACTGATCAATTGTGATCATTGTGATACATTGATCAATCGAAAGGGGTGCTATTTGGGATTGTTCACGGGCCAATTGTTTAGCAAATATCGCCGTGGGTGCTTATTAGAGTGGGGCGCTTATTACATCCAATACGGTACTGACTTTTGCCATTGACTTGTTACATTACTTGGGTCCAAGTCAGTGACCAGTATATATTTTGGGGGGTCAGAATCACTGGTATGGCTGTTTACAGGCAAATATTTACTTTGATATTACAGATATTGGAGGTTTAACTGACTCAGGTAATTAGGACTTTAGATAAATTGACTGGTATAGGATTGCTACTTAATTCTTTAATCTTCCAGCAACATGTAACTGGAGACTCAAGGTGTCAGTGCCACTCATATCAATGCCAAAGCTTTATTGATTCAATGAAGGATACATACACATCCAGATTCTGAGTATTATCCTCAGGACAGCTGGGGCTACAACAAATTATCTTGAAATAGGTCAAATTACTAGTTTCTAGTATGCAGACACAGCAGTAATACCCTAAGGATCTCAAAAGTGTATTTGGAACTTGGGATTCGTTCTGCATACACTTCAGCCATGCTAAATGTATGCGCATGGACTTTCCACTGATACTGTACTGTTACCTAATGTATTATGGTCAGAAATTATGTTTGAATCCTTTTTGGATGTGCAGAGGATAAATAATTCAGTTTTATGCAAATTGAATACCGTATTCGACATAATAAGCGCCCACGGCGATATTTGCTAATATATTGGCTAGTGAACAATCCCAATTAGCATCCCTTCCGATCAATGTACACAAGACTTATTTATTCATGTAATATACGCACTCGTGTGTTATATGCACCCTTAATTATGGGCAATTAAATTCTGGAAAATATATCTGTCGTGTATAATACGCATCTTTTGTATCATTTCAGGCTGTCAGCATAAAGCACGAAATTTACAATCTTTCAACTCTGTTTTTTTTTCCACCAAAATTATATGATAATAATACGTTGAATACGGTATGCTATTTTTGGAGACGGACACAGCCAGTCCCTACCGGAACAGAGTGTTGAGCAGAGAACAAACATCCAACTGAAGAAATGCAAACTCATTACAGCATGACATGGGGTAGTAACAAAATATTTGTTTCTTGTTTAACGCTGCACTCAGCAATATTCCAGCTACCGTATTTGACGTAATAAGCGCACCGCTCTAATAAGCGCCCACGGTGATATATGCTAATATATTAGCTAGTGAACAATCCCAATTAGCACCCCTTCCAATTCATCAATGTACACAAGACTTATTTATTAGCGTATAATACGCACTCGTGTGTTATATGCACCCTTAATTATGGGCAATTAAATTCTGGAAAAATATATCTGTCGTATATAAACATTTCAGGCTGTCAGTAAAACCACGAAATTTATCCTTTAACTCTGTTTTTTTCACCAAAATAATATTCTAATAAGAGCCCCTATTTCAAATTTTGAGAGCGCCCTGGGAGCTTATTACGTCGAATACAGTATATACGGTCTGTAAATACAATGAAATTGAATCTGGCCCAGATAATCCAGTGATTGAAACCATGAGCATCGATCCACGCAATTGGCATACGATGACATGCATCAACCAAGTCAGTGAGCCTGACCACCCAATACTGTTAGTCACCTCTTACAACCATCTTCCCGAGGCAAGAGAGTTAACCGATTTAAAAAGTCCAGTTTCCACCCTTCCCGAACTAGGCTGGAATTCCTGGGCTCAATCGTAGCGCCACCAGTGGCTATTACCAGTTATGTCCCTTCTAAACCTCTCCTATGGACCAATCAGATTCCACCTCTCGTATCACTTGCATTTGCTTTACACAAAATGGTGGCGCCAAGTCAGGACGATTTGATTGATAATCAAGTTCTATATCGTGATAAAAACTGGTCTTACATCGCGAAATGCATCAAATCATGTGAGCACCTTGATTAAAAACATGAAAAGATTTGGAAAATATCTGCTGACAACGAGTTGGCGGTGTACATGCTTTGCAAATCCTGCAATCGACCGAAATCTGCACGACAGTTTACAAACCGGATTTCGATTTCGGTGCGCGATTTTGATTGGACTATGCATAGACTTGTTAGTCCAGCCAAAATGTAACTCCATAATACCAGCTTAGTTCGGCAAGGGTGGAAACTAGACTTGTATAGTCAGTTTACTCTCTTGCCTCGGGAAAATGCTTACAAAAAGCATAGTCGCCTTTTGCAGCAAGCTTGGGTTGCTGAAGACCTATTAGACCTCAGTGAGTGTGAGTTGAGTGTAACCCAGTGCACAGTATCTAGCCATCATGACATCTACTTCATGTGGGAGGTCAAGTAACAGTAACCTGGGTCATGTTTAGTGAAATCCACAATCGTGGGTAAAGGGATGACAAAGTAAACAATGTGAAACTTACTCGCTCCATTTCGTTTTGCCAGGTTTTGAACCATGACCGGTAGATCCTGGCATAGGAACGTGGAATGAGCAAGTGAATGAGTTTTATGTAGCTTTAGCAATATTCCTGCACCATGTCATAGTGTAGGGGCACCAACAACAAGTGACATCTTCAGATGTATGAGCATTAGATATACAAAAACAGAGTCCAGATATTCATGCTTGTCAAAACTCCTTTATGCACACAAGATATTTCGCTGTTCATCGGCTCTTCAGAGTTATAAAAACTTTAACATAAATTGTAGTCATAGGCGACGCACAACAGGTGTATTTGTGGCATCATAATGCCTTTGACTTAAGAGTGACAATAGAGGGGAAGTAATATGTAGACTAGGCAACAGCTAGCGTTTTGTTTTTATATATAGTACACCCATGTGGGGATTGAACACAGGACTTTGCTGTGTTGAGCAAATTGTCGTTTTATGGTACACATAAGGCACATATCAGTGACAAATATGATATCTGATGCAGTTCTCTATTTGCGGGTAAATATTTGACTTGTCTTTGCATGTGTTTGTGATGGGTGCCACCGATGGGGCAGGGGATACGCTCACCTTTTCACAAACACCTGGTATCATTACTATGTGATATTGGTTCCTAAACAAATGCTCATGGTATCGTCAGAATCATACAAAACGACTCTACTTTTGGCAGAGACTTCTTATGAATATAGAAAGGGTTTTGTCGCTTTTATTTAAACATGAGGCTGTCCCACTGGTCTGAAGTTCTGATTGCATTTTAGTCATGTGGAAGTTGCAATATGGCTTCAATTCGATGCTATAATTATAAACATGACAAGTGTAATGTAGCTCCTAGCAGTCAATATGTACAATCCATATGGAGAACTTGATACCGTGAAAAGTTATCTTGATCTGATACCACAGTTAGTGATCTTCATCTGTCATCATTGGGCTAAATGTAATTAATATGTAATGATACTGTCGAGCATTGAGGATAGATATATACTCAACGCCAAAAGAAATGTGAACCATGTTTCTTTTGGCAGTGAGTATATATACAATGTAATACACTGCATTCCCCATACTTATGTAATAAACTATTAAAAGGAAATATATATTAATTAGGAGATAAACATATTGTGTTTTCAATGTAGAGCTAGGTTACCTGTAGATTTAACCGCCCTAAATTGAATTTGGAATTGAAAGCACGGTTAGATCTACAGGTAACCTAGCTCTACATTGAAAACACAATATGTTTATCTCCATTCTACCATGACTAAATAAAATGCGAACTCTTTGGTGTTAGCAAATATACTGAGTGAAGCAGCATGGGTTGAGTCCAGTGTTTTGAGTTGGTTATCGATCAGAATTATAACTAAATATAGCGCAGTATTTTCTCAAACTGTTTGTTTACACCATAATACTTCACTCGAACATATGACAGGCATTGAAAGCATATAAGCACGACAACTTGGTGAACTAGCATGAGGTGGGCATCCCTAAAGAAAACGAAGCAAGCTTTGCAAGGCTTTCGCTCTACATTGCACGTTACCATTATGACGTCATATCGCTCATAGTGACACAAAAGATATGACGTCACAGTCGTATATAGAAAAGTGCCAAAATTCCAAGCTCTCTGTTGTCTCCAAAACGTAAATACATTCCCTTTGTAGATTGCTATCGTGTTTTTTGCACAAAATGTATTGCCACACATCCTTTGATTATTGTAGTAACCGCATCTGTGCATTTTGTAACCTGTAATTGTAGATACAATAATTTAAATATGCCTACCGACAATGACTTAAAATAGTACTATTCTATAAATATTAGCTTCCGCGGTGATGCGGCCGTCAAACCTGCTGTTTCAATCAGAAGGGGTTGATTGTCATTTAATAGCCTCTGATTGACCAATCAGAATCAAGTAAATTTAAAATTCATGGTCGAATTAGCAATTGATTTTATTGTTCCAATGACAATGATCATCGCACTGTGAAGGAGTTGAAGGGGGTCTGAGGGTTTTACTGCCCTCTCATTGAACAATTGGATAGCAGGGCTAGACCCCAACAGGAAGGACCAGTGCAGTAAAGACACCATGCTGGTGCAATATGGAGGCCAGCGACTGTTATGTTGTCATGTCAGTGGAAATAATAATTCAAAAGTTCTCAACAGGGAGGACCAGTACAGTAACGTCACCGTTCTGGTGAAATATCCTTGTTGAAAAATGTAGGCCAGCAACTGTCTGAACTCTCAAGGCATGTTGTCATGGTGTGTAAATCTTCAATCCTACTGAGCTGAGTTGGTGGTACAGCGACCCCCTGTCACCTACAAATGACCCTGTTACCTAACCAGCAAGGCTAAACACATGTACTGTAATTAAACTAACACAGGGTCTATGAAATATTAAGTTACACAATACATTTCTCTCCTCTAAAATTGGAAACAAATCTTTCTTTCTGATGCTGAGGAACTTGTTAGACTTGCTTTTATTCAAATCTAGATTGGTTTTGATTTCATAAAATACATATATTCAACAGCCATGGTGCAGGACTAACAGGGGTAAGCAGGGCTTACTCTGGTGTTTCCATGGCAGAAATTTCCCCAAGTGCAACTGCCCAGATTGAATGTAACATTTTATCAGGTTCATGTGATTTCTACGAATTTATACTGATGGGATTTCTTTTCTTCTATTTTTTGACAATAATGTGAAATAGTTTTCGTAAGACAGCACAACATTTATCTGGTTTACAACCTTAATATTCGCTTACCAGTACATTTATGTGAAAACAATAGCCATCATGCATATGTACTACAATTTGACAAGGATCCCGATTCCCCCAAAACTAGTAATACAGATGCAACATGTTGTAGATGTAAGAATGACTAATGAATATTCCATAATATACAGGCATGCTCAACCACAAAGATGAGTCTTGGTAAAACCAGACATAGACTGACTCTTTCTTTCTTCTTTGTATGAGACCCGTGAAGATCCGGGGTAGAATAGGTCTTCAGCAACCCATGCTTGCCGTAAAAGGCGACTATGCTTGTCATAAAAGGCGACTAACGGGATTGGGTGGTCAGGCTCGCTGACTTGGTTGATGCATGTCATCGATCCAATTGCGTGGATCGATGCTCATGATATCAATCACTGGATTGTCTGATTTACGACAAGCATAGTCGCCTTTTATGGCAAGCATGGGTTGCCGAAGACCTATTCTACCCCAGGTCTTCACTGGTCCATAGACTGACCCAAATAATGCAAAGCATTTGACCAAATCTTTTTTGTAAACATCTCTGAATTAAGAGTTTATCTGTTGCATCCTCCATGTCATATAATAATACAGTGAACAAATGACGTACTGACATCAATTTTGTAAGTATCCTGTATCAAATGTATGGCAACCGATCGATAGTATCCAGCGGCTTATGTAAGAGGTCATGTGTAGTGAGGGTTGGTGTGTGCTAAGGGGAGAACCAGGTATGGCTAGTTGGGGTGGGTTGAGTTGGAGGTCAAGGTCAGGGTTCAATGTACAGTCAAACTGACATATCAAGTTCACTCACACCTGTCACTTCTACTTTGGTCACGCGGCCTACGGCTTACTGCTGATCATTCAAGTGGAGCACTCACACAATCAAGGCCAGGCACCCCGCAGTGATCGAGGCTTAGCCATTACTCCCACACATACATGTGTAACCAGGGATAGAAATTAACCCAGAAAGTCAACTAGCCTGAATAGCAATAACATATGGAAACATCCCCAAAATCTTAAAAATGTAACCAGCCATTAGGATGCCCTTAACGTTAGTGAAAATGGCTCGGGCGAGTGGGCAAGTGCTAATTCTTATCCTTGACTTACTCTCATTCAAAGATAAGGCTGTAAAGCTTATACATAAACTATTTCACAAATTCTGTGTCATGTCACGCCCCCTTCCATTCTGGGCATCCTTGTTGGAATATCCCATCAATTTCAACTGTGTCAGGAACAGTTTCATATGATTAAATATGTGTGCTATATATATGAAACCAGCACTGAGTTAGAACTTCCTCCACATATGCTGTCTCAGTTGGTTCGTTGGTTTCTTGTTTAAAGCCGCACTCAGCAATATTCCAGCTATATGACGGCGGACAGTAAATAATCGAGTCTGGACCAGACAATCCAGTGATTAATCTCATGAGCATCGATCCACGCAACTGGAATCGATGACATGCATCAACCAAGTCAGCATACCTGACCGCCCAATCCTGTTAGTCGCCTTTTACGACAAGCATGGTCGCCTTTTACGGCAAGCATGGATTGCTGAAGACCTATTCTCCCCCGGATCTTCACGGGTGTTTGCTGTCTCAGTCAACTAGAAGAATGCCAAAATCAGGTGTCAGAGCATGCAAACAATCAGGTGTCACAATTTTCCAATCAACTTATCCCAATGTCCTAACCAACAGTCCTAATGTCCCAATCAACTGTCACTATGTCTTAATCAATTGTCCTAATGTCCCAATCAACTGTCACTCACTATGTCCCAATCAACTGTTTCAATGTCCCAATCAACTTTCCCAATGTTCCAATCAACTGTCACTATGTCCCATTCAACTGTTTCAATGTCCCAATCAACTTTCCCAATGTTCCAATCAACTGTCACTATGTCCCATTCAACTGTCCCAATGTTCCAAACAATTGTCACTATGTCCCAATCAACTGTCCCAATGTTCCAATCAACTGTTTCAATGTCCCAATCAACTGTTTCAATGTCCCAATCAACTGTTTCAATGTCCCAATCAACTTTCCCAATGTTCCAATCAACTGTCACTTTGTCCCAATCAACTGTTTCAATGTCCCAGTCAACTGTCACTTTGTCCCAATCAACTGTCACTATGTCCCATTCAACTGTCCCAATGTTCCAAACAATTGTCACTATGTCCCAATCAACTGTCCACACGTTCCAATCAATTGTCACTATGTCCCAATCAGTGTCTCAATGTCCCAAACAGGTGTACCAATGTCCCTATCAAGTCTCACAATATCCTAACCAACTGTCCCAATGTCCCAATGAACTGTTGCAATGTTCCAAACAACTGTCACAATCTACCAATCAGATGTCACCATGTCCCAATCAAGTGTCACAACGTCCCAAACAGATACTCTGGGAAGTTTATTGTACGATAAGAACAAAATCTCAACACACACCTGTGTAGGAGTCCCGGAGGATGTCGATGGAGCTGATGAGTTTGCCGGCCACTGCATGATTCAGTCGACTGAGGACCAGTTCCTGGATCTGACCTGTACACACCTTCAGGCTCTTGCTGGTCTGAATCTGACCATCGTCATCGATGTCAACGCCTGCAAAACACAATTTTTGTTTACACATGATTCTTGATAGTTCAAAATAAACAGATTTTAAGTGCATGTGTATCTATATCTGATATACGCAGAGGGAGAATCCAATATTTAATTTGAAATAAGAAGCCAGTTTCAAAAAGCAAAAGCACTTATACAAGCCAACCAATCAATTTTCTTGCAGTGACATCAGCCAACTGGTTCCCACTCAAACCAAACAAACGCCTCTTGCATTGTCATCTAACCAACCAGTCCCCTCTTGCACTGTCATCTAACCAACCAACCCCCTCTTGTACTGTCATCTAACCAACCAACCCCCTCTTGTACTGTCATCTAACCAATCAATCCCCTCTTGCAGTGTCATCTAACCAATCAATCCCCTCTTGCACTGTCATCTAACCAATCAATCCCCTCTTGCACTGTCATCTAACCAACCAATCCTCTCTTGCATTTTCATCTGACCAATCAATCCCCTCTTGCATACATCTAACCAACCAATCCCCTCCTGCACTGTCATCTAACCAACAAACCCCTTCTTGCACTATCATCTTAACAAGCAATCCCTTCGTGCACTGTCATCTAACCAATCAATCCCCTCTTGCAGTCATCTAACCAACCAATCCCCTCCTGCACTGTCATCTAACCAACAAAACCCTTCTTGCACTGTCATCTTACCAATCAATCCCTTCGTGCACTGTCACCTAACCAACCAACCCCTTCTTGCACTGTCATCTAACCAATCAATCCCTTCTTGCACTGTCATCTAACCAACCAACCCCTTCTTGCACTGTCATCAAACCAATCAATCTCACCTAGAAAGTCATATTCCCCAGCTTCTTGAACAAGCTGGTCTTTCATGTTTGAAATAGTTTCCGATATCAGAGATTTGATCTCATCCAGTTTTGACACAGCCATTTTGAGGAGGGACTTGTACAGCTCCTCTTCCTTCTCCTTGGCAAAGTCCAGCTTCTTGGGCGTGATGAGCATGTCGCGGGCCATGTCAAACGCAGACATGATAAACATGTTGAGGCACCTGGTGTGAGACTGGTTCAACACGGAAGATGCATTGATCAGATAGCTCTGTAGCGTCCTTCTTGTAAATAGTGCAAACTTTTGGTGAATCTCTTGAAATCGTTCTATGTATTCACTTTCACCTTCATAGTAGTCTCGTGTTAAGGATTTTCTAACTGGCGTCTTTCCTGCAACTATATCACTAAGGTAGCCAAGCTTACATAGTTGCTGGTATGCCAAATTTGACGACACAAACGACACATGTTTGAAACCCTGGGATAACAAGTCTTTGTTTCCAGACCATGCTGTAGGACTTGTTGGAAGGTCACATGAGGAAGACAGTTTTATTTGATGGGTCGGTGATCCTGGGGCACCATCTGGTGGGTCCGTATCAACTGTCCTTAACCCAGGGGGAGGAACTCGTACAAAGAACACAGGACGAAAATTTGTGACCTTACCGAGTTCACTCAGCTCATTTATGTCCTGAAAGAGCAGAAAAGATTTCAACATTTAAATAATCATACATAACTTGATAACCAGAAAGAGACAAAAAGCATATGCAGATAGACTATGCTGTTCATCTGAAAAAGTTTACATACAAAACCTATCATTTCAAAATGTACACATAAACAATGATTTGGCCCTAACAATATTGGGTTCGGGTATCATGGGGCCACAAATCTGCAAAGAAAAGTGTAAAACCACAGGGTTACATGTGTCCCGAGGTATACCTCTTCATACCTCTTGTATTTTTGGGGGGCATGTGTTGCCCAGTCGTCTAAGGCGCCGCGATTCGCTGTGCAGAGTTGCGTCCCTTGGGCACGCCAGAAACCTATGATTGTCGGTTCAAACCCCGGTTCGCCCCCATTATGTTTCTAGGTTTGTCAGCACCATACCCATGCTCATGGGTTTCACCGAAGTGGTAAATGTCTGAGACCTGCATCACTTTGGGCTTTCCGCCCACATTAAGCTGACACGCCGTGATATAACTGGAATACTGTTAAAAGCAGCTTTAAACCCAACTCACTCACTCATGCTTGTATTTTCTTTACATGTGCACTCTTACTTCAAAGTGAGAGAACATTCAGTCCGGTCTGGTCTGATTTAGACAGCTTCTTTTCAATAGTAAATTTGCTGTTGGGACCATAATGTTAGTCCGAAGTGTAAAAAGTCGGAAATAGGGAGTTGTAAGTCAGTTTGAGTAATGATAATTTATTGAGGAACTGAGTAGACTAAAAGAAAAGTCCGGTTTTCGATGAAATCCAAATTTGACAGAGTCTGATTTGGACAGATTCCACTGTATTTTACTTTAGCCATTATGATTTTAACTATGCCACTGGCATTGAAATGAAATTTTGCAGTCTCATTAAAATCAGATCTGAGTTCTCACTACCGCTAAACAAAGATCTGAGGACATCCCATTAGGGGTCACGTCAGAATGACCTTTCATCCGACCAATCAGAGCGTCGCTTACCAGATCATGAAAGTGACAGTCGGAATGTGATTTCTAAGGGTGCAACCTCGAAAACTTTAACACAGGGTATTCCAAAAGATAGTTATGGGTTTAACGACTGAATGAATACAATCTAGACCATCTATTAGCCATTCCAGAATGTTCTTTTGTTCAGGTTTCAAATTTTAAATCAAGATTTTGTCAAAATATGTTTCGAAGAGAGGTCGCCAATTTGAATTAGTTCCTTTTGATTGGCTCATGTCGACTTCTTATCAGTCATTCCATTGGTCAGTTCACGTTCACGCAAGGTCGGTCTGACGTGACCCGTAATGGGGTGTTCTCAGATCTTTATTTAGCGGTAGTGAGAACTAAGATCTGATTTTAATGAGATTGAGAATTCTGAAACCTGGTATTATAGTCCACTCAATGTAAGATCTCCCCTTGGCAGACGAGTCCATGGATAATGTTCCATACATTAATAACCATGTATAAACAGTACTACAATAACATGAGTAGGTTCTCATGAAATGAAGTTTTTATTCACACAGAGACATTATATATGTCTTCATATATCTGTGAATATTAATATTTTTGTATATTTTGTAATAATATACATGATCATAATGACATAGCTGAAATGATCAAAGATCTGGTTTGTACAATCCAATAAATAGATTCCAACTCAAAGCAATCAAAACAATCACATCAATTGGAATATCAGGGACAATATCACACCACACAATGAGAACTCTGGTCCATAACATCAAACATTGATATGCACTAGTTCCACCTTTAATGTCGCTTGAATGTTATAATCTGCACAAACAGACCCCAGATATACATTCTCTGGATGTGACATCAGGCCTTATTCAGCGACTATCAGCATCACCATGACAACAATCTCAACATCTATCTCCCTATTGACAGTTGCCAGCATTCCTTCATCATGACATACTGGAATAAACTAGAAAGTAATCTGTACATAAAAATCTAAAAACTACGATACCACTTCTCAGCCTTATGTTTTGAAACATTGATACTGGGTACACTCCAGGAATTTTCTGACATGGGACCTTTATGTGAAAATTTTAAATATTCCAGAAGTACGCCCATACAGAACAATGTTAAAATGCCCCAACATATTTGAAAATGTGGGCTTTTTTTCAAATTTAGGGGCTATAATTTATAAAAGCACGAGGCCTGACCCTAGAATTATCCCTGTTGATGCACATGTCTAACATTAATTCAGTGAAATTAAGTAGTCTGTACACGACCAAGAGTAACATCTTCTTATTGGTTATTTTCAATAAATAAACACCCATCCCCCCACCCGACCCCTGCAGGGTTCAAATACACTCTCCCACAAAACCTGGAATACATAATATCCAAAATAGCCCATGCAAGTCTAAACTAGTTGACAAAACTTGATTCTCAGAATGCCATGGAACCCTGTATTTTAAAAGACACTATAATATAAACTAAACTTATTTTATTTTACGAGGCTCACACGTGATGGAAATCATGTTCAAACAACTTCCACATATAACCAGCTAGTAACGTCTATTGAGAACAATCCTTCATTATGCAAACTGCCATTGCATCAATATGTGATGCATGTCTGTACTGTCAAGCATCATCAGGTAACATGACTCATGTGATAGTCAATGATAATAATTCTGTCCCGTTTCGCGTTACTTCCTCTGACGTGTTTGAAAACTATGTAAGATTGATTGTTATACTACAACACGAGATCCTCCTCTAAAGGAGTCAACATACAACAGTCTTACTCTGTTAACCCTTCTTCTGGCATGTCGAACATTGGTGGGTCATGGTGACTCAAACATTGGTAGGTCATGGTGACTCAAAGCCCTCCATGTCATGAGTCAGTCAGTTGGAACAATTACCAACTAAGCATAGGAAGTACATGTAGCTGTTCATTTAAGGATTGAAGTTGACGTTCATCAGCTGATGAGTGAGTGAGTTGGGTTTAACACCGCTTTTAACAGTTTTCCAGTTATATCATGGCTTGTCAGCTTAATGTGGGAGGAAAGCCCAAAGTGATGCATGTCTGAGACATTTACCACTTCGGTGAAACCCACGAGCACGGGTATGGTGCTGACAAACCTAGAAACATAATCGGGGCGAACCGGGATTGAGACCCACAATCATAGGTTTCTGGCGCGCCCAAGGGATGCAACTCTGCACAGCTGCGCCTTAGACGACTGGGCCACCCGTGCCCCACATCAGCTGCTGAAGTCAGTGCCTCATGTCAGCAAATTCTATGATGGGAGAAGTGCTTCATAGTAAATTGGCTCATGTGTGGCAGAGTCTTCATCAGTTGATCAGAACGTCAACAAATCCAAAATAAATCCTTATATTGACAGATACAGTAATAATAACAAACATTCCATTTAAACACCAAACTTTAATCATTTTAAGCAAACTAAACTAACGCACTGAGTTGGTTTGTTATGACATCATCTGTCCAAAACATCACATGGGAGTTACATCCCATGTTTTTACAAAAGTCATAAAATGCCACCAACGGCAATGTCATTCATTTGAAATAGAAGTTGCGCCCAGTAAAGCTAGAACTGGAAGGACTAGGATTCGTCTACACGGCAGTGTGTAACTTAGTTATTTCTTTTGGTAAGTGGACCTAGAGCATTCTCTGTTGTAACTTCGAATGAACGCTTCATTTCGGTGACCCGACTTAAAATGATCTGTCTGGCTCTAAAGACTAGCATCAATCATAGCCTGAATGGTATGATGATATCGTCCCTCTTTGACAATATTTTTAGACATTTAGGAGTTTCCCTAAAGAAGTTCTGTATGTCTCCGCTCTAATGGGAAATGAATGACACTTAGCTAGGTACAGTTCATCAAGGCGAAGGCACTCGCTACTGTCAGTATATTTCAGTGGTTAAATTCCATCAACAATACATTAACTGAACACATGGAAACTGTATAAAACACTTGCCAATTTAAACATTTCAGGTAATATGTCCTGTTCAAATCTGTAGTCAAACGATGTCATGATTTTTGTTATTTATTAGGGGATCATGTCACAAAGAGATAATTATTCTCTAAAATACACAAAAATGGTGATCTCGACCATGTTCACCTTCAGTGTACTTTCAGTATGGCTGTAATGATTCACCGATACCTATGATATCATTGATACTTAGGTGCAAACAATACTTGAAGAGGCAGTGTGTTAGAGATTGTGATGCGAAATAAGCATAGCAATAAGCATAGCACATGTGTCAAGCCTCCACACCTCTCCCCATGTTGAAGTGTCAAGCCTCAACAAGTCCCCTATGTTGAAGTGTCAAGCCTCAACAATTCTCCCCATGTTGAAATGTCAAGCCTCAACAAGTCCCCAATGTTGAAGTGTCAAGCCTCAACAAGTCCCCTATGTTGAAGTGTCAAGCCTCAACAATTCTCCCCATGTTGAAATGTCAAGCATCAACAATCTCCCCATGTTGAAATGTCAAGCCTCAACAAGTCCCCTTATGTTGAAATGTCAAGCCTCAACATCTCTCCCCCATGTTGAAATGTCAAGCCTCAACAATCTCCCCATGTTGAAATGTCAAGCCTCAACAATCCCCCCATGTTGAAATGTCAAGCCTCAACCAGGCCCCCTATGTTGAAATGTATGTCAAGCCTCAACAATCTCCCCATGTTGAAATGTCAATTAAGCTTCAACAAGTCCCCCATGTTGAAATGTCAAGCCTCAACAAGTCCCCCATGTTGAAATGTCAATTAAGCTTCAACAAGTCCCCTTATGTTGAAATGTCAAGCCTCAACATCTCTCCCCCATGTTGAAATGTCAAGCCTCAACAAGTCCCCCATGTTGAAATGTCAAGCCTCAACAAGTCCCCCATGTTGAAATGTCAAGCCTCAACAAGTCCCCTTATGTTGAAATGTCAAGCCTCAACATCTCTCCCCCATGTTGAAATGTCAATTAAGCTTCAACAAGTCCCCCATGTTGAAATGTCAAGCCTCAACATCTCTCCCCCATGTTGAA